CAAAAAAAACAAATGGAGCTCGCCTGCATCTTCCGCCCTTTTTAGCCACCTAAAGGAGCCGCCAGCCAGCTGATTTAATGAAAAAAAAAAACGGTTCAGAGCGGCGTGCGCTCAGCCGGTGACGAGGACTGCAATTGAAAAGAACGAGCCTTCAGACTGCTAGAACTGCAAAGGCAGCCCCGGAAATCATGAAAACAGCGTTTTAAAATGCTGGGAAGCCTTCCTGCTTCGCTCTAATTCAATTGCATTCTTGGGCCTACGCACCCAAAAACAGAATTGTGCAAGTTCTCCCACTTAAAAAGTTGAGAGAAGCCTGTAATTGTCATCATAGGTAGACCTCAACTATGAGAGACAAAATGAGAAAACAAATCCAGACAATCAATTGTCTGATTTGGAAAGAATTTATTTGCAAATTATGGTGGAAAATAAGTATGTGGTCACCTACAAACAAGCAAGTTTTTTGGCTCTCAGACCTGTAACTTCTTCTTTAAGAGGTCCTCTGTCCTCCACTCATTACCTGTATTAATGGCACCTGTTTGAACTTGTTATCAGTATAAAAGACACCTGTCCACAACCTCAAACAGTCACACTCCACTATGGTGAAGACCAAAGAGCTGTCGAAGGACACCAGAAACAAAACTGTAGACCTGCACCAGGCTGGGAAGACTGAATCTGCAATAGGCAAGCAGCTTGGTGTGAAGAAATCAACTGTGGGAGCAATAATTAGAAAATGGAAGACATATAAGACCACTGATAATCTCCCTCGATCTGGGGCGCCACATAAGATCTCACCCCATGGGGGTCAACATGATCACAAGAATGGTGAGCAAAAATCCCAGAACCACACGGGGGGACCTAATGAATGACCTGCAGAGAGCTGGGACCAACGTAACAAAGGCAACCATCAGTAACACATTACGCCGCCAGGGACTCAGATCCTGAAGTTTGCTAGAGAGCATTTGGATGATCCAGAAGAGGATTGGGAGAATGTCATATGGTCAGATGAAACCAAAGTAGAACTGTTTGGTAGAAACACAACTCGTCGTGTTTGGAGGAGAGAGAATGCTGAGTTGCATCCAAAGAACACCATACCTACTGTGAAGCATGGGGGTGGCAACATCATGCTTTGGGGCTGTTTCTCTGCAAAGCGACCAGGACGACTGATCCGTGTACAGGAAAGAATGAATGGGGCCATGTATCGTGAGATTTTGAGTGTAAACCTCCTTCCATCAGCAAGAGCATTGAAGATGAGACGTGGCTGGGTCTTTCAGCATGACAATGATCCCAAACACACTGCCCGGGCAATGAAGGAGTGGCTTCGTAAGAAGCATTTCAAAGTCCTGGAGTGGCCTAGCCAGTCTCCAGATCTCAACCCCATAGAAAACCTTTGGAGGGAGTTGAAAGTCCGTGTTGCCCAGCAACAGCCCCAAAACATCACTGCTCTAGAGGAGATCTGCATGGAGGAATGGGCCAACATACCAGCAACAGTGTGTGCCAACCTTGTGAAGACTTACAGAAAACGTTTGACCTCTGTCATTGCCAACAAAGGATATATAACAAAGTATTGAGATGAACTTTTGATATTGACCACATACTTATTTTCCACCATAATTTGCAAATAAATTCTTTCCAAATCAGACAATGTGATTGTCTGGATTTGTTTTCTCATTTTGTCTCTCATAGTTGAGGTCTACCTATGATGACAATTACAGGCCTCTCTCATCTTTTTAAGTGGGAGAACTTGCACAATTGGTGGCTGACTAAATACTTTTTTGCCCCACTGTATATCTCAAAGGAATTGTGCTTTTTGATAAAGGGCTGCCATTACTTTAGCCCCATAATTTTTTCTCAAAACCCAAATGTTCTATGGCAAACCCAAAAGGTTCTCAACCTTTTTAATGCCGTGACCTCCAACCGGTCGTAAGTCGAGGACTACTCAACCGGTCGTAAGTTGAGGACTACTCAACTGGTGCAGCACCGTTTGCCGAATGGGACTTTTGGCGGGCTCAGCAGGGCAGAGACAGCCTGGACAATTCCTATTGGCTTTTGAAAGCCAATAGAATTAGACTCTATTCAAGAGAGTCTATTCTATTGGCTTTCAAAAGCCAATAGAATAAAAGGGAGTAGCACAGCTAAGAAAAAGGGGGAAAAAATGGTGGACTGCGTTGTTTGGCGACCCCCGTGAAATGGTCGTTCGACCCCAAATGGGGTCCCGACCCACAGGTTGAGAACCACTGTTCTATGGGGATAAGCTACCAACCTTCTTCCAGTTGACTTAGGAAAAAACTATTACAAAAAGGATGCAACCAAGTAGTCTAATGACTACTTATATATGGTACTAATCAGATTAGTTATTAAAGAGATGCAATTCTCCTTTCTCTGTTCATTGGCATCCATAATTAAAAATAGATCAAAGGGAATTCTGTGTATGACAAGGTTTCATAGCAGAAAGAACATGAATTGGCTCTACCTATGAAAGCAAACATTTTTCAAAAGATGAATGCTTAAATTTAGGTGTCATCCTTAAAAATATGCATTATTTTATCTACATACAAGTAGTCTTTGACATATGATCCCAATTGGAACCATAATTTGGGTTCTTAAGCTATGTGGTAGTTAAACTGAATTATCACGTGACTGAACTTCATTTTATAACCATTTTTACTTTGGTCCTTAAGCCCATCACTGCATTTGCTATGTGAATCATCTGGCTGTTAAGTGAATCATGCTATCACTTAGCAAATCCTGATTCCCCAATTGATTTTGCTTGTTAGAAGCAGGCTGGGAAGGTTGCAAATTGAGATCACATGACCACAGATGTTGCAACTATTATAAATGCAAGCTAGTTGCTAATCATCTGAATTGCAATCATATGGCCATAGGGAAGGTGCAAGGATTATAACTTTGGGGATGGGTTTTTAGTCACTTCTTCCAAGGTCATCGTAACTTTGAGCCATTAATAAATAGTCATAATCAAGGACTATCTATATTACTAAAACTCTTATGACTGTAACCTTCAGTGGGATGAAATGGTATATCATAAAGGTCCCCAACCCCAGGGGCATGGCCCGGCACTGGTCCATGGCCCGCCAGGAACTGGGTTGTAAAAATTACAGAAGCCCCATCCATGCGTGTGCAGGATGAAGGCAGTGTGCAAAAACCATTCTCCATGGAACTGGTCCCTGGTTCCCAAAATGTTGGGGGCTGCTGGTATATCATACGGCAATAATTTTTGATTCAATGCACATCAAATGGGCTAATTTACAGAATGTGTCCAAAATCTGGGAGCCACGACAGTTATGGGATTGAATTCTGGTAAAGTGGCTACTTCAGTGAAGCCATGCTGGTGTGCCACCGTAGTCACTTGTGATCACAAGATCATCATTTCTGACACTCCCTGCTAGCTTCCTATGAAGAAAGTCAATGGGAATGCTGGCAGGAAATTGGAAGTTGCTTCTACTCCTGTTGCTTGTTTGGCCACTAGTGGTCATTCTGTTATTCTGTTTAGGTAAGGAAATATCTCTGAAGCAATGATCCAATAGGTCATGGGTTATTTAATATATGCTAAAAAGAGATTCATATCTTCACTGGCTATCACTGATAAAAGACTAGAAACTATACATTCTAGGATATTGAAGAAAATAGGGGTAACTAACAAGAGGAAAAAGGTTTTTGTAAGCTCAGTTTTAAATATAATTGAAATTATACTTTCACCAATACAGATTATTTTCTTTTTAGAAAAATAAAACACTTTTGTATATTATGCATCTGTAATAATTACACTATACATAGATAGCATCTTTCAAAAATGCAAAAAGCACTTCACAAAAAGTATTTCACCAGTTAATTATGCAACATTTCATCTTTTATAAAAATTCCTTGGAAAACAGTTTGATCTGATCCAACTAGAATAGTACCATGCTTTAATCACATTTGTGAACTTATTAGTGTATTTATTTTTATGTTTCTATTTATAAAAAAGTTGATTTCTCAGTTTAACTGTTGCTTTGATCTTCTGATAATATGTGGCATTAAGACCTCAACCTTAAAATAAGAGTTTCTGTACAAATTTCAAATAAAAAAAACCTGATGCTTTGCATCACTTCAGAAACAGTTTTATATCAATTGCTAGATTTTACCATAATATGCAGAATTGAAGTGTTACTATTTTCTGGGTTACCATTTCTGTGTACAGGTAGTCCTCAACTTACAAACACAACTGAGTCCAAATTTCTGTTGCTGAGACATTTATTGAGTTTTGCCCCATTTTACGACTTTTCTTGCCATGGTTGTTAAGTGAATCACTACAACTGTTAAGTTAGTAACACAGTTAGATTTATGTGACTTCTACATTGACTTGGCTTGTCATATAAGGTTACAAAAGGGATCACATGACCCAGGACACCGCAACAATCATATTAGTCAATTGCCAAGTGGCTGAATTGTGATCATGTGACATGAGGATGCTGCAGTGGTTGAAAGTGTGAAAAACAATCATAAGTCACTTTTTTCAATGCTGTTGTAGCTTCGAATGCTCACTAAATGAACAGTTGTAAGTCAAGGACTACCTGTATTTAGTCAAGGAAAAGGGCAATTTAATATAAATGCAGTATTTTTCATAAGAGCCTCTATGTTCACATCACCTATTAGCGGTCAAATACATAAAGAAGAAAAATACAGTAATCACAATTCAATTGATAAACATCTTGAATCTAGTCTGATTCACTGTGAGTTTATCAAATGAGCTCATATTATTATTTTAACTTAAAACTAACATTTTTAATCACTAAAGTCGAGTCATCAATATATACAGGACTATGTGTGCTTAAACAAATTGTGATCACTAGCTTTGTGACATCTAATTCTGCACAGGGATTTGTCTTTAGCTGTCCTTTATATTTAATGACCCTATTTTCACATTAATGGATTTCCCAACACTACAGTCCTTCTTGTGTTTTCTGAAAGAGGGAAAAACTCTCTAATTTCAAATTTGAGAGGGGTTTTTTTTTTTGCTTTTCTTTTGTACACTGGAAATTATTGTATACAGAAAAATACTTCTTTTCCTTTCCAGCTCTTACAATTACAAGACTAAAACTGAAATTTAATCATTATGAACACACATATACACTGTCTGAGAAATGTCAGTACAGCTGGTATTCAGAACATTTCTGTAAATAACATTATCACAGTATAAGCACAGAAAGAAATAGACCAAATGCTGGGATTCATAATTCTGTTTCATCAGCTTTGTTTTAGTATTAGCATAACTTTAAAAAAAGTTGAACAGTAATGTACATTTTCCCATTTAAATAGTGTAATTGTGTCCTGCAAAATATGTACACACAGTTTCTTGCAAGCAATATTTTTCTAGTAGTGATTCTGTCTTAGTTAAGCAATCCTATAAATGAGTTATGAAAAATGTGTTATATATGAGTGTGTATTTTCCAATCTAAACCCGAACAAGGTATAAAAGGCAGCGAAGAACAATCAAAGGCTACAGCTGCAAACCTGTTCAATATCATAGATCTCCTTTGGGCAATCTGCAGACAAGATTAATGGCACATTCTCTGTCACCACCACATCATCTTCAATGCGTATTCCTATGCCACGGAATCGTTCAGGGGCACTTGTATCATCTTCAGGTATGTAAATGCCTGGAAATAAAAGCATTGATCAAAATCTAGCAGATCCAGTTTGCAAATTATACAGTATATTCTTTCCGGGTTTAGAAGGCATAGCACAGGTTTTATCTCCATAGGTAAGCAAGTGTACCTCCATCTTGATCCAATTCATGTAATGCAATACACGCAACTTCATTTTGTACCAACAGAAATACTGGACCAAACTTATAAGAGTAGTTTTTGCAAGCTACTCTATCCTGATATAAGTCCAATTAAGCACTCTTTTAAAATTATTTTCCTACAGACTAAAGATCATGAAGGTTTTTTCTCCGTAATTAAATCTATAAAGCAAATGGCAGTGTTTTCTGGATAGTTCTCAATGCCTCTGACTGCCTTCTCACATTTATGGGGGTGAATAATAGAAATGGAGAGATGATATATTAAGAATCTGAAGCTATTTAAAAACTAAATAGAAAAACAATTGCACTGAAATTTCTAAGAATTTTTTGAAAATAAATTTTTGAGAATACTTTTGAGAAATTATTGTAGCAATCATTGAATAAATAACTGGGAATTCTTCTTTTCAAGATACCACACATAGACATACCTCTTTTTATATTGCTTTCAGTGGTGCATTATTTTACCTGGCTCAATGGTGATCACCATGCTTGGCTGGAGGAGAGTTGATCGGGATACATCAGGTGTATCATGAACATCCATTCCCAGATAATGCCCTACATGATGTGGACAGTATTTCCGAACAGCCTATGAGACAAAAAATAATACATTCCTAAAACAAGCAAAATTTAGAGAAATGTTGGATGGGTATGTCTTCAGCACTAAATGTGCTAGAAACATATAGAGAAAAGGAAATATAATATTAATTGGTTGTTCATGCTTATAAATACAACTAATATGTTTTGTGTAGGCACCATCTTCTGCCTTGTTTCTATCAAATCTGTTTGTTGTAAAGGCAATACACTCTGGTCTTTAAGCAAAATATATAAATGACAATCAGTTTAATATTAAAGACAAATAGTGTCTGTTTTGAGTTCCAAGGTACCTTTGATCTTTTAGCTGGCAGCTTCTTCTGTGGGTAAAAATTAATAGGTACCTTTCAGTACCTTGCCTACATTTTATGCAATATTTATTCAAAACCATTTGAATAAGCTTGGTTTCTTGTACAAAATCTCATCATTTTTTCCAGCAGACCAGCATGAACATTACCATTTTTCAAGCAGGTTGTTCTTACTGGGGTTCTGAAAGTTTTCAATTCCTATGAATTTCACAAATCAGAATAGGTAAGGATCTCAAGAAGCAGCAGTATGCCTCACTCTGCTAAGCAGTTTGTCTATGTTGTTGAACTATACATATTATATCATGGAAGCCATTACAGAGAAATGTTCTTTAAAGAGTGTGACAAAGAAAAAGTCCAGGTCCTCTTTCCATTTTAAAATGTTCTCAATACATAATTTGGAAGGGTAGCAGATCTCGTAACAGTTTTATTTAATATGAAATATTTTCCTACATTTGCCAGTTGAAACAGAAACTGATACTACTTCAAAATATCCATTGATTTAAGCTAATTTTATTGGAAACTGCACTACGCAAAACCAAATTCTCTGTCCATCTAATATTGTTTATGCCAACAGGTTGCAGCTCTTTAGAGATCCACACGTTTTTCCTTGCCCCATTAGAGATACTGAGCAGACAAATATTGGATTGCTGGGCTAAATACATATTTAAGATTTATTGTGTTGGCTCCCACAATTTGTGCCAAATTTCAAAATGCTGCTATAGTGATGCATTTTTTATTTGTCCCGACATTCCTGGGATTGATGGGTAGAAAAAGCTTGTAGTGAAATATTATCAGTGCTTGTATCTGCCTATGAAAGATGAAGGAAGGTAAGTTGAATCAAAGCAAGTCTTTAACAGATTTCTAGAATAGGCACTTTCCCATGTACATGACAAAAAAATTATGTGAAAATATCTTCCGTAACTATTACCAAAATCTTAAAATGAGGCATTTTTCTCCCCAATTTAGCAATCACATTTAATAACCTTACTGACAAGCTAGAAGAGTCCCACGCTGATCTCTACCTCTTGAATTAATACCTGTTGGGAATTAAAACAATTGGTGCATATACTGTACATAATTAAATAGTCTGCCATCTGCTGGATGAAAGAGATACTATACAGCTGAGAACCTCTGACTTGTCTCCAAATAGTACAGGTACTTCTCGATTCATGACAGGAATTGAGCCTGGAATTACAGTCATAAATTGTGACATAATGTGACCAGATTTGAAGTCACAATTGCTTTTAAAACAGTTGTTAAGTGAATGCTGTAGTTATTAAGCAAATTCATTTCCCACAATGGATTTTTTTTTTTTTGCTAAAAACTGGAAGTAAAGGAGAGCCAATTGCAAGAGCTTAAAATGTGATCATGTGACTATGGGAGGTTGTTCTAACACCAAAAATAAGTAATTCTGGGGAGGTCCATCATAACTCTGAATGGTATTAAGGAAAGGTTGTAAATCAATGACTACCTGTATTTCTTTTAGACTTGCATCTGCAGAAAGCTACAACTTCAAAATGAAAATGGGATGATTTAAAGGATTGTTCACTTTTTTTTTAACTGTTCACTGTTTTTTTTTTAGCCAGGAAAAATAACAGGTTAAACAGATATGCAAAGAAACCAAGTACCTTGAAGACCTGACCCTCGCTAGTGCTATCCTTTAGGATTCCCAACTCTTTCAGCTTCTGTCCAATGAGAGTTAGCATTAAATTGTAGATGTTTTCTAGGCTCACACCTGAAGAACAAAGTCTTAGGCATGACTTCTGGACCTCCAATATAGCCTGGTACAGCTCTGCCTGGGGACTAGTAAACCTGACAATAAGAGAAAAACACAAATCAGCTCAAGTGAGATTTAATCAGAAAGAAAAGCAAAAATTAAATGCTAAGATGCATGTACAAAATAATTAAGATAGGATAGTACAGTCCTTTGGATTTGTTCTACTCCAAAATGTTGGTGGAAGATTGCCCACCTGAACACCTCTTGCTTCAAACATTTCTGTACGATGATAAACAGTTCATTAAGGAAGCCAGAACTACTTTCCCATAACTGGAAATTGTACCTTATATTTTCCAAGGTGAATTTGATAAATAAAATTTCCGCATTAGCATTTTGAAATGAAATAATGACATGCAAACTTTTCTGAATATCTGGTTTTGCATCACCAAAAACTAAAGCATATGTCAATGCTAGAGCAGGGAAAGGAGGATGACTGCAGTACATTGCACTAAAAATTGCAACTATGGTATAGGCAAGGACGATTTCTGAAGTATAATGAAATGAAGAAAGGACAACAATGGAACATTTTCTGGAAAACCTGGAACTGCAAACAACTTGATGTTCCTTTGCTGGGAACAGGACCTACCTGCCATTGATGGGCCAAGTGCGGGTAATGTCACTCACATAACAAGAGTATTCACATCCTCCATCCAATAAAACCATTTCTCCATCCTAGAGCACAAGAAAAAGCAATGACTTGGTACTTAAGAATTTCATTTAAATAGTATTGTAAAATGATTTTTTAAACAAACAAACAAACAAACAAACAAACCTGGAACGTGAGATAAATTATGTATGCTTTTTCATCAAATGGTTCAGCAGAGTGTAGCTTTTTATAGTTATAGTACAGTCCTTCTCTGCAAGCTTTGATGTTCAGCTTATTTTAACACTTAACATCATCTTATTTATTATTATTATAATTATTATTATTGACTTCTGTAATCCTGTAACTGACAGTTGGATTATGGGAACTGAAGTCCAGCACAAAGAAAAGTGCCAAGATGGGAAAGTCTGATCTAACTTAACAGCTGTTGCTATGTTAATTCCATTTACTTTCATTTAGGTGCCATCTTTTAATCACACCCACTTTTATTGACCAACAGAGGTCATATTCATCAAGCACATTGGTGGAGAAGAAGGGGGCAAACAAAATGTCTCCTTGTTTCATTTTTCTCATGAAACAATTACCTAAATCAACCAAATCGTATGAATAGTGGCAAATATTATTGGGGGTCATGCTGCAACATCTATTCAGAGTTAGACTGCTTTTATATTCCTCATATAAATCCCTATATTTCCTCATTAAAAGATTCATATGCAGTACAGCTATAACATTATTAATTATAATTATTAAGATTAAGATTATTCCTAAATGTCTTTGTTCTACTCCATAGAATGAGGAAGCAGATTTTTTTCCCTAGAACTACAGGACAGTCAAAACTATACTAGAATGCAGTAGAACTGGTTACAGTCTGCTTAGCTTAAGAAGGTACTCAGAAACAGGACTGTATCCTTTTAAAACTGTAGTTCTATTCCAATCTTCTTACATGGCTTAGTTAATATATTACCGCAGTCCATCTTGATTTATTTCTTTTGGAGGGGTTCAGTAGATAATAACACTATTATGTTGCAGAGTTCATTCAGTTACCTTGATAAGTTGATTGTTTTTCACATAATGCAAGGTATTGGACCTGTTGCCACCAGCAACCACAGGGGGGTAAGCTAAAATGTCAGCACCACGAGCCCGGCACTCAAATTCAAACTGGAAATAAATAATCCATTAATTGTTGAAATAAATGTGTAGCTTTTATCCAAGCCCTTTCTCACAAAGCCTCTGCCAATGACAATACTTGGGCTAGCAAACTAGCAAAGTATATGGGATACTTTATGTATGTTTGAATAGGAAGACTTGATTCAGCTTTCTCAAATCAGGTGGTTCTTGCTTAACAACCACTCATTCATGATTGTTCAGACTTACAACAGTGCTGAATGAATACTGGACTTATGGCTGGACTTACAATTGCAGTATCACCTCAGTGACATAATCACCATCTGCAACCTTTGCCAACTTCCTACAGAATCAATGGGAAAGCTGGCAGGGGTTCACAAAAGGGGACCTCAAGACATGCGTGCTTAATGACGTGCAATGGTTCACTTATCAACAACTGAAAATGCCACAATTTCCATTGATAAGCAGGTGTCACCACGCTTTACAATTGTGTCCCTTAGCAATGGAAATTATGATCTCAATTACTGTTGTTAAGTAAGGATTATCTTTAATGGATTTATATCATAGTTTGCTGTCAGGGAAAAAAAAGAGCAACCATATAAAAGGTATTCTTAGCTCTTTGAAGGAAATATAGTATATCAACCCACAGAGCGTGCTACTGCTTAAGTAAAATACCTAACAGCCTCAGCTATTGCAATCAATGGAGAGGAATTATGTTGTTCAGTACCATCTGAAAAGCCATACATTTCTCTTCCCTTCTGCAGTATGTGAACTAAAGAAACCTAGTGTGCTATGGGAAGCAAAAGTATAATATGTCTGTTTAATTTTTTTTCAGGAAAAAAATTACTAAGAACTTGGTGATTGTTTTGAAAAAACAAAATCAAAGGTAACTTTTCTTGTGTGCTTCTATCTATGTCCAATTTTTCTCCCTGTACCTATATTTATCCTGATTTGGGTGCATGTCCACAGACAAGAACTGATTTCTTAGGAACAGCAAACCAGCTAAGGATTTTTTTCACTAAATGAAAGTAATACGAAACATTAGGAGGTACTAACCCCGTTAAATAATTTTTTTTGTGATAGGCTGTATTTCCTACTCAATTTTGTTTCTTTGAAGAGAAAGAGATTTTAGTCTGTACTTATTCTCACATTTTCATTACGTTTGAGGGGGTGGCTGCTGGCACTCTCAACTGTTAATTAGAACCAAAACATATTTTTTTGGGATACTAATACATGTGTAGGAGAATGTTTATAGGGAAAAATACTTCTAAATTAAAATGCACTAATACATTAAAATTATACTTTGCATTTGCACTATTTTCCTTGAAATTTCATTTCCATAATGGGTATTCTTAAGGAAAGATAATGTTCAGGAAGTGAAATTTAATTAGTGCTAAAGAGCAAAACCCTCTCATTGTTCAGATGAAAAGCTACCAGTAGTCCCCTACACACATCTATTCAAAAGCATATCTTATAAAGTTCAACGGGATTTACTATCTATAAGTATTGAGGCAATTTCTTAATAAATCTTTTTTACGCTTTATTAAAATCCTGGTGTCTCTCTTGATGTTCTCCTTCTGATGTTCTCCATCCTGCTAGTTCTAAATTAAGGGTCGACGTAAGGATTAACAGAAACCTATCACATGTTATGTGAGCATATGCATTACATGTGAATACAACCTAGAAACTGGCTGTCAGGTTACAGCAAGGGACTATTTTCCACAATGCAAAAAAGCACATACCTTAGCATATAGAAATGCTTCGTCCACCGGAGCTTTACTTGTAAGCATAGTCTCTATGAATGCCTGTTGAAATGCAGTAATAAAAACTATTAATAAATATGTTAGTTTCCAAAATATGGCTATATTTTCCAAAAGAAGAGGCAAGAGGATAAGCTCTCCTAGATCTGATTCTAGGAGTGAGGAAGAGCTGGTTGAGGAGGTGAATATACCATATTGGGATTAAATGAGAAACTGGATCATAGTTGTAAATGTATACTTTTGATTATGATCTATTATAGAAAGTGATCAGGTATGTTTGATTTCTTCTTCACTGGTATTTGTCATACTAACTCATATGATGATAATCTTATTATGTGAAACATAGGGAACTACAGTGGTAGTTGTTGTCAGAAGGCTTTCCATAAACACAAGGATCCCATATTTTTCCTGACTAAATCATCAGCATTAATTCCGGAAACATCCCAGCAGAAAGATGCTAGCTATGCCTATATGTCATTTTCCTTTTGGCATGAATTCCAATATTATGCCTTTTTTTCTCTTAACACTTTGTGCAATATAAATGTTTTGATCAATACCTGTGAAGTGATTTTGCCAGCAAATTTCATCCTCTCAATCTCTGTGGCAGATTTGATCAGCCGTAAGTTTTGCACTAGATGCCGGACAGCTCGTACATGGTTGTTGCATTTAGTTTTGACCTCAGCCAGATGCAGCAGATAATCAGAATGGAGCTGTGGATGCACAGGTTTAGCAAAATCATACCAAACTGTGCTAGAATCATCTGTGAAACAGAATATAATTACTCTTTAAGTTTAATTAACTACAGTTCTTTGGAGAGATGCTTGCATATTTTTGGTATTATCAAACTGCAGCCAAATATGGGTAACAGTTCAAATTAAGGGTCAACACTGGTATTCTTAATAAGAGATGTTACTTTGATTTTATAGTATTTTTAAATCTTCCTGAAAGAATCAGTAATAAGAAAAAATGGTGAAGCTACTTTTTGTAATATAGACAGTTCCTTAGAAACAAAGATATGTATCTAAATTAACTGAGTAAAGAGGGCATGTGTTTTCCCCATGCATCATCCTCTATATAAAAAAGTAGATTTCAAGTACATTTGAATAGAAATATACAATTCTTTTGGATCAAGAGCTGCACTTGGTCTTTGAACAGAGTGCCAAGAATTGCCCTGCAAAAATGGAGGATTAAATATATAAAAAGTAATTTAAACTAGAGTTAATGTAAATTGAGTAAATTAAATTATTAGTTATTTTCAATGGACTTAATAAAACTTATTAGTTATTCATATAGTATTTAATATTGCCCACTTCCATTGTTATTAAAGATTTCAGGTTAGCAATAATATCTTTTAATACGACTCCGGAGCCACTTCCATGGCTATGGGAGATCACATGTGACTATGGAGCTATAAATTATGAATCTCTATATTATAATTTTAACAAAGCTTCTTCTTTTCAGAATACATTCCCATTCATGGGGACACAGAAGTAATGTTTTTACACCCTAAATGTGTTAAGAATGCAGCCTAAACAAAGTACCTAGCACGACTGTGCAAATTCTTTAAAAAAGTTGGAAGCATATACTTTTTGCACTATTAAAGCAATAGTTTCCAAATTGAGTAGCTAATTAGGAAGCTATTCTCAATTACTTTTGCTGCCTTGTGTATGGACAGCTATTTTCTTTTGTGCACTAATCGGGAGAGGCTACTATAAGTTCCAAACAACTGTTTCTAAGCCCTGTTGCCTACTTCCTTCAATGTGTTGCATGTACACATGACTGTACCGTAACAGTAAATTCTTAAAGAAAGGAATTGTTAAAGTAGAACTTAAATATTGGAACAAAATTTGGAACAAAATACCAGTAAAATTAATTACAGTTCTGTAGTAATCATTTCTTCTGTGTAATTCACAAGTAACAAAGATATATAAGCCCAACAAACTTGGAAAACTTTCATTATTGCATAACAGCTATCATGTGGCCACAGACTGGGCAAAGTAAGACTCTCCAGAGTCTGTCTTTATACTGTATATACTTAATTTTTACAAATTTTGCCCTTAAATATACCCATGAAACAGAAGGCCATTTGGAATTGGGGCAATTTAGAAATAATGTTAAATAAAAATTCATACCTATTTCTGAAATGTATTTAGTTGGGCACTTAATTCTGTTCTTCAGGTTGCATATAGTTTCAGAAAATATGAACTTTGCATATTAACATTTGCATTAAAATCCAAAAACAAACTTGCCCTCCTCTTTATTGAAATTATGATTTTTCAGGGTTTTTTTTCTATGAAGATAAGTAGGGAGCTAGGGATGTAAGCTTAAACTTCTCACATGAAGTTATGATTTCCTTAGTTATAGGTTACTGAATAATTGATGTGCAATTCATGTAACATGCCTACCATGAACGATCTTTTATGAACCACAATCGTTGGGTTCAAACACTAAGGCAAATCCAAACCATTCTAAGACTTACAGATGGCGCTCAATGTACGACTGGTTAACTGTTTAAAGTTGTGACTAACTCCAAAAAATGTACTTGGACTTGAAGTTTTGACACCACCATCCCAATCACATGACTGCATTTGGGGCATTCAGCAACTGACCCACATTTACTGTCTTTACAGTGTCCTGCGGTCATGTGATAATTTACACTTTTGCCAGAACTCAGCATTTACTTCTGGTTTCAGCAAAAAACAAACAATAGTTTTGCTTAACAACTGCAGCATTCACTTAATGACTGCTGCAAAAAAGGCTGCAAAATTGGGCACAGGCAAATGATGACCTGCTTAATAACTGCCATATCTTATGACTGTAATTGCAGGCCCAATTTCGATCGTAAGTTGAGGATTAGTTATAACGCAGTGCATGAATCCAGCTTTCTGTCTTATATCTATTATGCCCTTCACTTGACAGTAAATTGCTTAAATGATTCAATATCCTATTTTATACAATGCAAAATCTATTTTGTTTTCATACCTTTTAATTTAGATACCAGATGTCTAAACTCTTCCATGGTATATGCTTCATCTACACCAGTGAGGGCCACTGCTCCATCAGTGCCAGATCGTGGCCCATCCCACAACTCTCGGCTTGGATCTCTTTTTGGAACAAATAGTAAAGCTTTGTGATACGGCAAAGGTCTACCAGGCACACTTTGCAACACTAAGATACTATCAGGTTCTTGGAAGCCACATAGATATAGGAAATTAGTGTCCTGGTGAAAGGTGTATGGAATATCATTGCTCATGTAGTAGGTCGGATTTGAAAGCAGAATTACTGTGTGATCTGTCCCTTGCATCTCTTGTTGTATCTGAGCCATCAACTTGTGTCTACGGAGAGCATATTCCACTTGTGATAATCCTGGTGTTACCTCTCCTGTGAACAGAATTCAAAAACACATTTTCTATTTCAGAAACAATTTTTCATGTTGGTGAACCCTTACAATTTTTGAAACTAGTCTCACATTTTCCAATTCATCTCCTTTCTATTCATTTTCTTTGCACTTATGTCTCCACATTCCTAGTTCAACTCCAAACTATTTTTTTCTCTATTATTAATAACAAAAATTGTTTGTATAAACTTGAGTTCACAAGGCATTCTAAAAGCTACATTTAATACTAACATAAGGATTATGACTAAAAATGATTACTGGGAGAGAGGAAAAAAAAGAAAAGTAAACTTGAATAGCTTTTTATACGATTTGCACATTGAATGGAAGACAGCAGAGCTATACTGTATTTTGATATCAGTATAGATATTTCATTACCTAGCAATAACTTCTTCATGAAATGCAGAGCTCAAACACTGAATTTAAAAAAGGTTCTTTAATCAGCTGTGTATCGAAGAATTAGATTAGAATATAGAATTTTCTCAGAACTTCAGAATTAATCATTCAATCTAATTTTATCTATAATGAATACAATGTGCAGAAAACAAAAATATTTTAACAAAACTGGATCAAATGCCAAAAAAATGATTGCAAATGGAACATTTCTTTGCATAATCTATAACCAGATTTGCATTTATTAAAGCCGTTAAAGCCAATCCATTAAAATGAACAGAGCTAACAGTTGAAAAATGTGAGAATTTCCCTGCAGGGAAATAGCAGGGACAGGTTATTGCCTTTATGCCTTAAATATGGATCTCCCTAAAAGCATTTTGCTTGCTACTGTGGGAAACAAAATGATGGACTTTGGTTTGATTTTGTAGGACTTCTCATGTTCTTTAGAAAGAGACAGTGGTTCAACTAATTACTAGGGGGTTTCCCATATTTAATAGCAACTTAATGTTATCTGATAACAAATGTTTTAAAGTTATCCAATGATTTTCAAAAGAAAGCAAAAATTTAAAAATATGAGATATATTTTTAAATTAAAATTTTGTTTAGCTTTTTTCTTCTATAAATCATATCACAGTACATACTTTAATTTAAAAACGTTAACCTACTTGCAATAAGCAATTTGCTGACCTAAGCTAGTTGCTGGGTAGCAGCATCACTAGCCAAGATGAAAATAAGGCATTTTCCACTGTGCAGAAAGACAAATGCTGGGCACATTATCTATTCAGATACCAGCTACTGAAATTTTCTGTAATACAAATAAAATGTGAATGGCATTGATATACCATTATAATTACCCAGTCAATATTCATAAAGAATCACACATTTCAAATATTAAAAATGTGGTAGAATCTCCGGCTAGAGTAGAGGAAGGAGTAAAGAGGCAGTTTAGCTTGGAGTCTCTCAGTGATAGGAAGCAACAAAGGCAAGACACATGAAGCCTTTATCTGCCAGTTTCCAAGAAAATGGAGTTACTCTGGCAAAAGATTAGAGGAATTACAATGAACTACTTTGGCCTAACCATGGAATTATTTTGGTTCCCTGCATCTGACAAAGTACAACTAAATCTAAGAAGAATTTTCTAAACAGTTGAAATGAGAAAAGCTACTTAGCAGTACTCACATAGGCTTTTACAAAAGCATAAATCTAATTAACAGTTGAAAAAATAATTAAAAATGCACATCAACCAAAAACACAGCATTCTGTATAAACATATTAAAGAAAATAAATAATGAATTTGACTAAAATAATAACTTACCAATAAACATGCATAAAATCAAGCTACATGTTTGGAGAGACACAAAACTATTGACAAATAATGTCATAAAATACACTATACATACAGTAAAAGGTTGAGTTCAGAAAAATGCAGGCTGAAACAAAAACAAAATTCTAATTTTCTAATAGGAATTGGTCCTGGGTCTTTTTTACAAATGTGAATCGAGCAATTACAGTTCTTTCTAACTGATTTTAATCTGCTATTCTGTCAAATTATAATAAATGATTGTTCAAATAGAAAATACCACTCAAAATGCTTAGCTAAAATAAAATATATTGATGAACAAAACCTTCATGGAAGAAAAATTAAATTCACAGGCCAGTAAAGAATGACCAGAGTTTCTCAATATTTCCATGCCTAAGCAACACATCTGTTTTTGTCTCATGTCTATCTTCTGTAACTCTGATGACAGACAAAATGGCCTTTCAAGAAGGTTTTCTAACTTTGGGAGTAATTCTTATGACAGGAGGCAATTCTTCTAATGAAAAAACAATTGCTGTAACTTTTCCAGCTATTGCAAACACAGAAATTTTTGCTAGCATTACTTGCAACTGGGTGATTTCTATCAGCAGCCCCCAACCTTTTGGGTGTCAGGGACTGCTTCCATGGAGGACAGTTTTTCCACAGACCTGGGGTATGTGGTTCCATGCACTGCCTGGATCCCGCGCATGAGCAGATGGAGCTTCATGGGCTGCAGACTGGGGGTTGGGGACCCCTGATTTATATGATTCTTTTGTCTCACAAATACATATATCCAAGAGAACATGAGTAGAATTTTAGGAAGTATTTTCTATCTCGAACATAAAATATTCTAAACAGGAATTCCTTGAAGGATATAAAATTCTTTTTCCCCCCAGGTTGTTCTTTAAGAAAACTATTAAAAAGTGAGATGTTAAAGGACTGTGTGAGTAGTATAGCGTTATGCAAACTTGTCTAGGATTAAATGTCTCTGAACACTTATTTCTCATACAGTAAATGTGCTTAGAGTTGCATTACTGTTATCCTTACCTGGCTTAAGAAGATGTGGATGTGTGAAAGGGCTAGGCTGACCTAGATATCGATTTGGAATCTTCTTTTGTTGAACTGGTTGAATGGATAATTTCCGAAAGAAACAAAACTTGCAACCTAAAATGAAACGGCTGAATAGCATCAAACTGAATTGTTTCCCCCTTTGAATCTGTGATAGAGCCAAAATGAAGTTTGCCATTCTTAAACACTACTCATCTCTTTTTGCTTTAAAGGTAAAGATGTACCCAACAATACTCATATGTACTTTCCCACTAATAATATTATGAATACTTAAAAAAGCAATGAAAGTTCTAGAATAATATTTTAATGTTTTTTCATTGGCTGATTCTAATTGTTTGTCTTATGCTTTGCATTTTTACTGATATAAGTAACCTTCACTGAAGGAATAGATAGTGAGGAATACATTCAGCAACAACTACAAACATTGATAAATAAGATGGTCAAGATAGGATGGTTTTGCAAAAAGTTCAGAATTGCAAGTAAAATTTTAAAAACCTTTCCAGGAATGGTTTTCCTGAACACTACAAATCACACAGCAAGGTAAATGTATATATTTGGCATACACTATGCTTTCTAGGCAGTTATTAAACTAAGCAAAAATAACATTAAAAAATTACCTAGATACTAACAATAACCTTCAATGTTTAATGTTCAATGCAAAGTATTAATATTTAGATTAGCAGATGGGAAAACAAACTGAAGAGAAGGGAAGAAAGTTATCATTATAAAGTATTTCTATAATTTCTTTTACTCATGATTTATCAATAGTTGTTCTTATTTTGTATGTTTAACTTTCTAACTGTCTGTTAAAAGCTTAAATTTAAAAATAAAAATATTTCTGACCTTGGCATTTATTTCCTTTACTAAGGTTGCAAATGCTATAAATATGGTATTGATTATATTTTCATTTATACAATAAATCACCCAATCTCCAGTTTAAATATTGCTAAAACATTTATGATAAACCACTAAGATATTCCAAAGAATTTAAAGATTACATATTGAAATTATATTTCTAATAATTAATGCTTTCTGATCCACTGAATGACATTTAATAGGGATAACAATGGGACATTATATACGAAAACAGTGATATTAATAGCTTTTTATTTATAGCAACTTTATCTTATTTTTCATAATTACTGTTGAAATAAGTGGTAAAAGAGTTGCAGTGTTTCTGTTCTTTGGTACACAACAGGATTACTAATTGATACTAAAAAAAAATTCAATCCAATTTTCAAAGTGCAACATTTATTCATACGGAGTCTAAAAATTTTAAGAGTTGACAAGCAGAGTATCTTAAATCTTTAAAACATTAGGGTTATTATGCCCTTTATATTTATTCACTTTTTTAAAAAATCCAAAACAAAGTAGGTCAATTTTGGATCTTTCTACTCTGGAGCCAAAAAGAGGGTGCTACAAGCTTTGTTTTAGTGGAAACAAGCAAATTAGTATTATTTAATATGTCTGATCAGAATAGAGGCTTATTAACATCTATTTGAGACTCAATTTGATACAACGGTTAAGGTATTTGGCTAGAAAGCAGGAGATCTTGAGTTCTAGGACCCCTTAGGCGTAAAGCCAGCTGGGTGATCTTGGACCAATCATTTTCTTTCAGCGCTAAGGAGGTTGCAAACTATTTCTGCCAAAACTTGCAAGAAAACTGTAGGGACTTATCTAGGCCAGGGCTTTTCAACCTTTTCACCCATTGTACCACTTTTAGGATATGGCAATATCGAAGTACCACCAGTCGCCTAGCAAGGTGTCAAAAACTTGATGACCAAAAAAAAAAAAAAAGGAAAAAAGTGATAAAGTACAGGTAGTTCTCGATTTACAACATTTCACTTAGTGACTGTTCAAAGTTAAGTGGCATTGAAAAAAGTGCCCCCCAAGCCACAGCCGAGCAAGACACCTGCCTGCCCCCCTGGCCGCGCTCTTCCTCCTTTCCGAGTTTTCCATTGTTGTGAGCATTTCTGTTGAGGATTGGCAGTGGGCGTGGGGTGGGGGGTGTTTGGTTTTTATTCCCCGTCTGCTGGGTGGTTGCAGCAGGTTTTGGTCACTTCACATGACCCTGGGACACTGTGACCGTCATAAATATGAATCAGTTGCCAAGCATCTGAATGTAAATCACAAGACCCTGGAGATGCTGCAACGTTCCAGCTGATTGGTGTTTCTTCTGGGCTCAGCAGAAGCACCAGGATCAGCGCCACACTCCAGCTGGAGCCTGGTGCTGATCCTGGAGCTTCCCCTGAGCCCTGACAGCCCTGCAGCTCCAGCCATCTCTCGCACAGGCTTGTGTAGTGCTGCCACAGGTTCAACTCATTCCCCTCCCCCACTACCACTTTTCTAGGATGGTCGCGTACCACCTGCCAGGTACCAATGTGCCACAGGTGGTATCTGTACCATTGGTTGAAAAGCCCTGATCTAGGCAGTCTCCAAGAATCGGACATGATTGAATGTAAAAAAAATCCATTTAGTTAAAAAAAAATCACAGAATGAACTATAAATATAATTTGTAGTTATGCGTTTTATTTTTAGATGTTAATCCAAAGAAATGCCACAGAATGGAAAGGATCTACAGCTAAGTAAGGATTGCAGTATAAGGCTAATAATATTCATACAAGTGAAGTGTGTTAAAATATTTTGTTTTAGACTACAATCCTATTCATATTTACTTGGAAGTATGTTTTGGATTCAACTCAGTAGCCCAATTCACACATATCCCCAAGTTAGGCCTTTTTTTTAAAAAAAAAACATGTTTTGAAGAATAAATTATATTAGCTTAAGCTGCATTTAAACATTTTAGCTTACATGTTAATTAGGCCTTGAGTTTTTCTCCACTATAAGCATGCATAGGCTCAGGCTATATCTACAATTCCAAAAACAAAAAAATCCAACTCCAGGATTAAACCTTGGAAAAATAAATACTAAACTTAGGGATTGTTTTATCTTATTTTATAACACATTTCACAAGGAACATGAAGGTATATTTCAGCTGAACCAATCCCACTGATTTCCAGTGGAAAATGTGCAACCATCTTTTTTCCTCCTCTGAGATTTAAAACCTCAGCTTATGTTTCTGGTAATATTTTGTTAGCAATTTCTAAACCTAAATTGACCAGTTTCTTGAACTTCTGTTTTAAACAGAAGAAACGTTTCTTTTATAAGAGATTTCCATAATACTACCGTGGTCTTCAGAATATTTTTTTATCCTACACGAAATCAGCTACAAGTATCATAGTTGAAACTGAGACAGTAAAAATACCTTTTTAAATATGCAAAGTGGAGGGGGTACCTAGAATAACTATCTTTCGCACTGCTTAGAATTGTTCTTTTATGTATAATCAAATTAAGTCTCTGACCTGAAAAGTTGCATTTGACCCTTACAGGTTGGATAAGTCTCTGAGCTGGCAACCACACCATAGCTGAGCTCCCTGCCTGTAAAAAGAGTAATCAACACTACGGAACGATCTCGGAAGAAATCGCAACGCCCCAAGTCCTGATCTTCCCCCACTTCGTTCTAACACTCTTTCGTGACTCCCAACCCTGAAGCATGGCCAACTAGTACACTAAGCTCGATTTGAGTTCGCACGTTTGAAGGACCTTGCTTCCACTGGGTCGGCACATAATGACGTCACCATCAATCGTAACCCGCTATTTTGTATTTCGCCTCTTGAGTTTCGGCGAGTGACTGGCCATTATACCTTAGGCGACTAAATAAATGCCTACTTATTAAAGTGCTTCATTCATTCATTTTTCCTACCATCATGGCTAAGAAAGACTAGAGCCGGTGAATTCATTGCTCTGACTTTAACTGGCATCACTTCATGGACTGAATCAAAACAGAAAAGCGTGAGTCCAAAGGCAATGGAAAGAGGCAATATCGAGGGCAACTCAACTTTCATTTCTAGAAGATTCTGGACCCCGCTGCCAAAACCTAAGGGAATCGGGACGGTTCAAGAGAAGGCGAGGTAGGAGGAGGAGCTTCGGCGGCGCTGGGAGGGTAGAGCGGCAAGAGCGGGAGTCGCTTTCTAGGGGAGGTTGCCAGAGGGCGTGGGGGAGCCGTTGCACCGTGCGGCGCGTGACGGCAAGGCCTGTAAGGGGCGGGGAGAGGAATAGGTTGGGAGCTCCGAGTGTTTCTCCCGGAGAGAAGCTGTGCGGCGAGGCAGCAGCGACGTGACAGAAGCGCTGGCCATGGACCCGCAGAAGTTGAGTGAGCTGCGGAGCTTCGTGAAACTCTGCAAGCAGAATTCTGCCATCTTGCACTCCGAAGAGATGATCTTCTTCCGCGAATGGATAGAGAGGTAAGCACGGAGCCACCAACGGCGAGCCCGAGCGGAAAGCAGGTGGGGCTACTTATTCCCGCTTCTTTTACTGCTGCCCCTTCGGTTCCCTCCTCTTCCTCCCCCCCCCCACCTGTGGTTAAAGTTGTTGAAGTTGGTCCTGGGACGGTGAATATTTGGGGCTAAATTATTTTGATCTTCCTTTAAAGGGCGGCATGAATTTGTCTCTCGTGGGATTGCCTGTAGAACTTGAGAAGCAAGGGTTATTGGATTACAGAGAGTTACTAATACTTGTTAAATAAGTCATTTTAGAGGGCGAAAGTTTATATTGACCTCACGTTGTCAGGCGCCTTCTTTAATTTGTGCTTGTCGCAAATCAGAGACAATTTGAGGAACGTAGTACCGAGTTTTTAATGGCAGGGCCTAGTCGAATTATTGAAACCTGGCCTCTGTTCAGTTACTCAACTCATGCCACACCGCCCAGTTCTAGAAAGGTTTAAGATTGGCAAGGATCTTCTGTGTGATTTATCTTGCCTAGTCTGTTTGCCTGAGAAAAAATACTTTATATGAAGGAAAGGATATTTTAAAACCTTTCTGTATCATATTGAATGGATTTTATTATGCTTAAGTTTGATGTTAGTAATATTGATATTAGTGATATTTTGTAATATCCCTTCAATATCTATATGCAAAATTATATTGGAGTTGTGTGTCAGTTGCTGGAGCTATAGATGTGATTGTCAGGGTTAGTGCTCCAACATGCTCACATGCTCTGGTATCTTAAGTGACAAGTACATTTCTTGGAGTTTTTTTTTTCTATTCTTAATGCTTTCTCTGCGGTAAAGACAACTTTAAAGTTGCTTAACTGTAGAAGACTTATTTTTTCTATGTGAAAAGAAAGTTTTCTCAAATTATATATTCCATAATAAGCAGTAAAACTTCACTAAAGCCTAATATAGAATTTAGGGGTCAAATGTTATACAATTCTCCCCAGCTTATGATAACAATTGAGCCCATAACTTTTGTCACTAAGCAAAAGAGGTTGAGTTGTTGCCAATTTTACACACTTTTTAGCTGCGGTCATGAAGCAAATCACTCGGTTGTTAAGGGAATTTGGCTTCCCCCATTCGTTTTGCTCATCAGAAACCTGCTGGGAAAGCTGCAAATGGCAATCCCAGAGACCTTGGGACTCTGCCATCATGACAAATACATGCCAGTTGCCAAGCACTGGAATTTTGATTGCATGACCATGGGAATGCTGAGTGAGTCAATGCCATTTTAACTTTGGTCATTAAATGAATGGTCATAAGTCAAGGGCTGTCTATAATGCTATGGAAACGAGTTTCCTCACAATTATAAATGTTCTCTGCTTGTTTACCCATTTCACTTTATACAGCCACTTTTTCAAAATTTGTTCTTTAACAGTAATTAAGGGGTTAGTATAGCTCCTCTGTGAGAAAAGACTGTAGAATTCAGTATTTATGTAATGACAATTTGCATAGTTTTAATAGAACACTGGATGAATTCATGGAGCGTCATGCTATTAGAGGCCATTAATATTGCCAGTTGTTCTGTCTCCTGTATCTTAGGCTGCATGGCTTATGTATGGATTGCCAGCAATTGTGGAAGAATGCCATCATTTTAGTTTAGATTTATGAACTTTGCAAATACATCCCATTCACTTCTGTACAACACAGAATGTTAGATTTACAGCCTGCAGCAGCAGGATTCTTATCTCTTAGTTGCCTCTTAGTTGCCTCGTATGTAGCTTGAGAGCAGTCAGACTCTTCTTTATATAGCCAATTACAAGGACATTTTCATATTCTAGTAAGAAACCTCATTAAGTTGGTTCTACAAAAAGAATGAAATCACAAGTGCAGACTTTAATGGCCCCATGACATTGCAAAAGCAATGATTTCAAAGTCGCATTGAAGAGCCAGGCTGTAGATGAAGCTTTCCATTATGTTTCTGGCTGTAGCTAAAGTGATGAAACTAGTTCAGTCTTTCCCATCTAGGGTCTTCTGAATCTGTTGGTTTCAGTTGTGTAATTGCCAACCATCATGACGAGCAACATTCAGGAGGGTACTGGATAGTAGAAAACAAATCTAGATCATTGAAGACAGGTGGGTCCAACCCATGGTCCAGAACAGCTAGTAATATGGCCCTACAAGATAATAAAAATAAAAAACAAAGTTTGTTTATATAAATTATATATTTTATACGTGGCCCAAGACAATGCCTTTTCACTTGATGCAAGCCAAAAGGTTGGACAACCATGATTTAGATTTTTGGGGCAGGTTGTGAGATAATTCTGAATTAGTTGATTATCAGTTAGTGTTTTGTAGACTTCTGCTTCCAATGATCAGTCTTAAATGTGCCTCATTTAGCATATAAATGAGCTATAAACATAAATACATTTATGAATGTTGAGCTAAAAAAATGAGCAAATCAAAGATTAATACTACATATTTGCACTTGTAATCATTTTCCTAAAATTGTCTTAAAACAAAAGTTTCAAGATATGATATTTTAAAGGGAAAGGAAAATAATGCAATACAGCAAATCTTTTTATTTTAGAAAATATAGAATTCAATCTGTGATTCTGGATGATGCAGTGTGGTATGCCATCATGAATTAAATAAGGAACAGATACAATTTCACTTCATTTTTGGGGCAAACAGATGGGCAAAGTGAAGGTTTTGGGGATAAATACAGAAACATTAAATGTATTTGAGCATCAGCACCATTTACTCTAGAAAAGTACCTGGGATTAATGTGTATTTTTTTTTAAATAGTATTTCTCCCTATCATGTACTTTATAGTTCAGAACTGAATACTTTTAAAGATATTAACTTTCTGTGCTCATGATAATTATCCCTATATTATGAAAGTTATGCTTAGAATAGGATCCTCTTAAACATCCCTAAATATTTTTTCATAGTTTCATGTTTCTTAGATCAGAAGGCTGCAAATGATAATATAATTCATTCTACCTCCTTAAAATAAGGAGATCTCTGTCCTAACAATTTAATATTGAAGGTTAAAGTATTCCTGAAAAATAGTTTAGAAAACTAACTAGATCCAGTATATCCAAGGGGGGGAAAATGTCTGCTGTGCTAATTTTGCAGCTCATAAACAGATCTTTGCTACAAGATATTATGGATTCCAAATATTACTTTTTTAACTTAAGCCAAAATGTTTATATTGATATTTAATGGTGTCTTTTAATTGGTATTTTTCCTTTTATTATAAAGCATGGGAGGTGCAATACCACCGGCTCCTTGCAAAACTTCAACAGAAACAACTCCTGAGGTAAGAAAGAAGCTTGGTTAAAATGTATAATACTTTCCCCCCTTATCTCTGCAAGGGAAAGGTTTTTTTTTTTACATATTCTGATAGGTTGATAAGTAACTTCATTTCATTTTCACTCCCTATGTCTTGCCTTGAACTGTTGTAACTCAAATTTCCTATTACTCCAAATATAAGGGTAATGGAAAATCTAAGTCTATCAATGTTTATTATAGCCATAAGACCAGAGGTAAAATACATGGTATATGTATATGTCTACATATCAATATCTATATCTACCTACCTACCTACCTACCTACCTATCTATATGAAAATAGCATGGAAACTGTTAAAGAGACAAAAGCAGACCACAATATTTACAAAGAGCAATTTTCCACAATGTGGGATATTTATAATAACTAATACAATATCCTCTAGAGATGGCTTTGACTATGTTTCCTTCTTCTCTACTCCCTGTTAACCATATTTTGTGTGCTTACGGGAAGTCTTTTTCCCTTCAAAAATAATTGGAAATAATAACACCCATCATTTTTTAGATTTATTAATTGAATTCTTTCTCTCAGCCACTGGCAAAAGGAGATTCTGAGAGAGGAATCTTCAAAGAACAACAGTATTTAAATATATTATTGGTCAGAGGTGCTTTTTTATGCTCCCTCTCATTCTGTGTTTATATATGTTTTCAAATCACACAGATTTTAAATTAATTGAATTCTTGAATTTTCATTATCCTGTGCCAAGCAAATGTTTTATAACTATATATTACAATTTGGATGAGTTCACCTGTGATTATTTTAAAATCTTCCACAAGAATGTCAGTGGATCAATAGTTACCAGATTTACTCCCTGATTATTTTATATTTAAATAGACATAGCATTTTATGAGGAAAAAGAGGATGTTACTAATTAGTGACTTTTTTTTTAGCCAAAGGCAGAAGAACCACCAAAAGCACCTGAGCCTGAAAGTGAAGAAAGTGATTTAGGTTAGTTACCAGTATTGAAGTCTCTTTGATGTAATTATTTTTTTTCTTCTGTGTCATATGAACCAAATTGAATTCTTCTTATTTGAAATATATGTTTGTGATTTTTTTTTATTTTTTTTTATTTTTTTTTTGTTTGCAGAAATTGATAATGAAGGAGTGATTGAGCCAGACAGTGATGAACCTCAGGCAATGGGAGATGAAAATGTTGAGGTAATGGTGTCTGGAACTCTGAATCTATGTGTCACACTTAAACAAAAAAGTAGTGTAACATGCCTATGTGTGTGACTGTTAGTTCCTTATTATTGGTTCAGCTAGCAATGAACCTTTTCATGATTTTTAGCTAATTGTGTCAGCTAAGATATATACACACACACACACACAGAGAGAGAGAGAGAGAGGGGGGGGGGTTTGCTATTGATAGGATGAAGAATATGTCTAACTGGAATTAACCAAAATATATAACCATGACTTATTTTATTTGAAGCAATGCTATCTGGCCAATTTGGGGCAGCAATATCTTTTATCCTATGTTCAGATGACATGTTTAACTGTACAATCATTTGCAATTGGTTTACAGCTCAAAAGCAGACACTTGTGCACTAATCAGCTCTTGCTTAAATGTAACGTGAATGTTCCATCTGATTTTTAAATCCAGATACTGTATCGTGAAAGGATGATAGCTCTGATCTGCATTCTAGTTTCTTTGCCTTTGTTTTTAGGTTACAGAAGAGATGATGGACCAGGCCAATGAAAAGAAGATGGAAGCTATAAATGCATTAAGTGAAGGTCAGTTATATATATACTACATCACTTTTTTTACTAGATATACCCATAGAGGTAGTTCTTGGGTTACAGCTCCTCATTGTGGAAAAATAAAGCCTTCAAAAATATAAGGACTTTTACGAAATCCCAGAGGGTGAAACAGAGAGGTTTATTTTTGCGCAAAAAGGTTCAGAAGTGATTTAACAATCAACAAATTTCTGAACAAGGGGGAGGGTCTAAGATAAAGCTTTATAGGTTTCTTTTTCTCAGGAACAAAGGAAGCATAGATGGAATCTTACATTGTATATGGAATCTACTTTGTGTAACATTCAGATAGTTTCTCACACGTTAGGTCAATTTCTCATGGGAATACAATGAAGGCAGTTTTTACTTTTATACAATGTTTCTAAATATGCATTAGGTCATTCACATACTGTTAATACAGCTTTTGGCTAACACAGCTTTCTTTCAGAGATTATGCAGACACATGATTTTTGCTTTTTGTGATTTTTCATTATTATTATTATTATTTTACTTTATTCTTCTTTATTCTATGTTATTCTATTTCTTTCCCACTTTAACATCACTTTTTTTACTAGATACACCCATAGAGGTAGTTCTTGGGTTACAGCTCCTCATTTGGCAGCTGTTCAATTACAATGATACTGAATGGTACTTAAGACTAGTCCTTAAAGTTCTGGCTGGTAGTTATGACAGTTGCAGCATCTTCCAATCATGTGATGGCTATTTGTGACTTCTACCAATTTCCCACAAGAAGTTAGTGATGAAGCCATCAGGGAAGGTTACCACTTGAGTGTCTATTTTTCTAAGACATTTTTGCTAAATCTATACATCATGTCCAGTCAGTTCTCTTCCTTTCACATTTCTAAGCCTCTAAATTTAAAATGGTTTGCTTTTTCACTAAAAGTTTATATTTTCAGGTGAACTTCCGAAAGCCATTGATCTGTTCACAGAAGCCATCAAATTGAATCCTCATTTGGCTATCCTGTATGCCAAAAGAGCTAGGTAAGACTTTACATTTTCTACTATAAAAGATATCTAACATAAACATAGCATAATCTGAACTGTGTTTATGAATTATTTTATAGACTTTTAAAAGTTTCTTACTGAATAAACGATTAAAAATCTGTTATACTGATTTATTCTGAAATAAAGGATATTTTTTTATAGTACTAATAGTCATTTTTGGCATTTTTAGCAATTTTTAGCTTTCTGCTTTCTGTCTTGATAGCCATATTCAAGTTTGTGTTTTTTTACCTTAAGTTAAACTTTTTCTGTTCTTTAATACTACTGCAATTATATACCTTAAATTCCATGGGAAGACTAATACTATATGGCAGGGCTTTTCAACCGGTGCGACATGTATCGCTGGTGGTATGTCAGCACCTGGCAGGTGGTATGCTTACAATAAGTTGAAAGTGTAGCGTGGGGATGAAATGAAGTGGTGGCAACATAGCACAGGCCTGTGGGAGAGCCAGCTGGAGCCGTGGTGTTGCTGGGGCTCTGCGGAACTCCCAGGATCCGCACCAGGCTCCAGCTGACTGGAGAAAGGAGTCAGTTGCAGCTACACTAAAGACGAGTGGGAGGAGGGGAAGGGAGGAGAAGATATAAAATAGACATGCCCACGCGGTGTTCACTTTTGGCCCAGGGCCACCCCAGCCCACAATCAAAGGAAAAACCCGAATCCAGCGGGCCAGGAGGCAGCCCAGCCACCATGCCCCTCTGGTTCCTTCTCGGCCCCTGGGCCCAGACGCAGTTGCTGCTCCTCACCATAGCTAGGGTGGGACTTGCAGGTACCTCCATCTGCTTTGTCCTGCAAAGCGGCGCTCACCTGGCGCTCCTGCCTGCTGCCATTCAGTAGCCCCAACTAAAGGCTGAACGCTCCAGCCTCACCCAGCAAAGGAAGTGGGCAGCAACCGAGGCTACATCAGATCTGCAGCTTGTCAGGGGTGCTCAAAGGCTGCCCAACTTTATTCCGGAATTTTGGGGTTGGAAGGTGGCCGGACAGTGCTGCGTTTGCAGGCATGGCGGCACCTGCTGGAAAGCCTCCTGCTCCTACTCGAATATTACCATATCCTAAAAGTGGTACAATCTCTGAAAAGGTTGAAAAGCTCTGCTATATGGCTATAATAACAAACCTTGCAAGACTGTGCTTTACCTACCCTCTTTCTTATATTCCGATGAATGAGGGAAGAGCCAAATCTCTTCCAGATACTGTCTTGTTTGTCAGGACTTAAGGAACGTTTTGCTATCTTTGCTTCTTGCTTATTTCCTCTATAACTCTACAATAACTGTTTATAGTATCTACTCCCAGTGGCTATATCTTATCTCCAGTTTTGGAGCCTGTATATCTCCAAGTAATGGTTATTATATGGAGATACAATAGCATTCAGAGCTTACTAAAAATGGGAATGAATTCCATGTGGCATAACTTTGTTGCAGCTTAAGTTAAAGCTAAGCGTAATTATTAATTATGTAATAAAAACACCTGTTAATGATCCCAAATAAAAAAATTAATGAACATTAAACAGGAGTTATATAATGGTACTCTATAACAGTGGTTCTCAACCTGTGGGTCGGGACCCCATTTGGGGTCGAACGACCATTTCACGGGGGTCGCCAAACAAGGCTGTCCGCCATTTTTTTCCCCTTTTCTTTGGCCACGCTCCTGGCACCTGGTGATATATAAGTGGCTGGGGGTCACCACAACATGGGGAACTGTATTATGGGGTTGCGGCATTAGAAAGTTTGAGAATCACTGCTCTATAAGAACGTATGATAATTCAAATATATTTAAATAGGGTAAATGCAAAATGTATTGTAAGTGCTTATAATTTTGTGGAAAGTGATCAGTGTATTGAGCTGAATAGTATTTTAACTCAGTTGCTAAAAGTATTAAGCTGCAATGCATAATGGTATTTTATTTATTTTTAGTTAAGGATGTATACTTTTCATGTTGACAGTGTTTTTGTGAAAATGCAGAAGCCAAATGCTGCCATTAGGGATTGTGATAGAGCCATTCAAATAAATCCCGATTCGGCACAGACCTACAAATGGCGAGGAAAAGCTCACAGGTAAAAAACAAAGCAAAGCAACCCTCCTATATTCTTTTTATCTTAATCTTTATCTTATTGAAGAAAATAAAAACTTTCTAGGTTAAATAGAAAGCTTTTAAGATATATTGCTTTTATGTCCGCTACATGTTACACAGTAACTTTTAATTTTATTCGATTTTTAAAAAATAAAATTTAAATTTGAAAATAAAGGACATTTGGATATTATTAAAAGCTTTCTTATTTATACCCATGACTTAAAATTGTTTTTAACATTGTCTCAAATGATGCTGACTGGAATTGGTAATTTTCTTGCCAGGCTGCTAGGTCATTGGGAAGAGGCTGCACATGATCTAGCTTTGGCATGTAAACTGGATTATGATGAAGAAGCTAGTGCCATGCTTAAGGAAGTACAGCCACGCGTAAGTAATGATTGAAAATTTGGAAGACTTCTTGCTTAGCTGATGATTTCACTTCTATGATATTTTATAGAACTTGTGCTAAAATTCTAGCCTGATTTTATGTGATTTTTTTAAACTCCAGTTTTGTAAGGCTATTGTAGTTCTGTAATCCTGACAATTGTTACCACAAAGTGATGGTCTGCAAGCTTGCCACTAACTTATTGTAAGGCTCTTTAAAAAAAAAAACTTGATTAAATCATTTACCTCCCTATTACCATGGGACAAGCTGTAGATAAGTAAAATATGAATTGGTTCTGAAAACCGCACATTGTGTGCAATAAAATATTGCTTGAATGTTTTGCTAGTCTGCCACAAGGGAATACTATAAATTTCAAAAAATTACTATCCTCTTTTTGGTTACATCATAAACTGGATGATTACATACTAGCTTTGACAACTTAGTTAATTGTGTTGTTACTTCTGGTCTAACATTAAAAGCTTTAGCATTTGACCAATACTGATCTCTATTTTAGTGTTATACAAAATAAATAATGGTTCAGTAATTTTTTATTTTATATACATTGAGAATAGTTGAGTATAGTTGAAATTTCTATAACCACAGCCCCTCTCATTTGCTTTTTGTGTATATTACGATGCTTTCTCCAGTGTCATGTTATCCCAGGGTGTATATGTGGATCAAGTAACCCTGAACCATTTATGTTTCTACCTATATCATTGAAAATTATTACAGAATGTAATGCAGCTTTTTCTCTAGCTTTATCTTACTTTCTTCTTATAAGCAAAAGGAAAAAAAAACTTCTAGAAATGATATCCTGGTGCAGCATTGCTGATTTCATGTTTTTTGCTTTCTTGCTTTTCCCATTAAGAAAAGAACAGTGCCTAGGAAATTTCTGTTCTTGCTAATGTGTTGTCTTGCTTGAGATATAGCCCCTCTTTCCCTTACATCTCTGAACTTAAATTATAAATTTCAGAGACACAAGTAAAACTAGGCTGGGCATGTTTTTACTTTGTATTTATAGAGAATGCAACAAAATGTGCCCAGGAACCTCTACAAAATGAACTACATGTGAAAAAAATCTTATATACTGATAATTTCTTCAGATGACGGAGAAGTACCATTTCAGCTAAGCATTTTTTGCATTGGAAACTGATAATTGAAAGCAGGATAATCCCAGTAATTTACTTTGAGGCATCTACTCTATAATGTTGTTTCAGTGTGATTTTTTAGGATCAATACAAATGTGAAATCTATCCTAAGATTTGGCTGGAACTTTAGAAACAATTTTCTGAATATTTTTATGCAGCAATTTAGGCATAATTCCTTGAGGGAGATGGATGTTCATATTGGCCTGCATAATTATACTCTTAAGACTATAATTCTTGTCCTGTTGTGAATTGCCAGTTCACGTACTTATACTACTCAAAATAGGTGGATATTGGATTATGCTCCTCTTTGTGTTTTGAAAGACAGAATTGAAATAATTCAAATAAGAATGATTGCCTTATATGTGGCTGTCCACTTCAAATCACATGCTGGTTAAACTACTTCAGTTTAAGCTTGTAAGCTTGTAATATTTATCAGTTTTATATATTTAATGCCATAAGATTCTTAAATAAAAAGTTTCTTTTCAACAAATTTTTGTTTTAACTGTTATAGATCAAAGCATTGCTGATTCTAATGCTTTGCTACTTGTCTATGTGTTGTGTATGAAAGAAAACAAAAAGTTAATACCGTCCCAAAAGTTTTTGCTTTTGAAGAGTTTTACTGGAGTAATTGTTTGTTCATTCTGCCAATAAACTTGCAGACTGTTTCTTATTAATTTTTATTCAACTCTTAAGGGAGAGTTAAGCTCTATTATTTTTTCTACTGAAATTGATTTTCACCTAAAAGACTGTAGTGTTGCCAAATTTAGACAATTCTGTGGGATATTTTGGAGCTGTAACAGTGTTGAAGGAAAGAATTAGTGTTGATTATAACCCTACAGTTCTTAAGAGAATTGACGAAATACAAACTAAAAATAATTATTCTAGAATGCTAGAATTATATTGTATAAATTATACTATACATGGGACAAATTTTATTCATCTTGTACCTCAGGCTCAGAAGATTGCAGAACACAGAAGGAAATACGAACGAAAGCGTGAAGAAAAAGAAATTAAAGAAAGAATGGAAAGAGTAAAAAAGGCCCGAGAGGAACATGAGAGAGCTCAAAGGGTAGGAGCTTGAAAAACATATAGTGGCATAGTTGAGTCCTTAGATGGGAAGACTAGAGATGTCAAACAAGAGTTCATCCCCTGACACATCTTCTACCTAGGAACTTGATAATTTATACAGCCATTACCTGTCTTCCAAGAGACCCGTCACCTGACATTTTCTCCTTAACCCTGATGTATGAGAGGGCTGTGCTGTCTTTTCTGATAATTAAAAGGGTAAAATTCACGGGAGGAAAAATGAAAAAAAAAAATTCTATAAATAGATTTAAACAAGAGCAAACTTTATTTTTATAAAAAAAGAAAAACAGTTTTTATTTAAAAATATTTGATGTTCTGGACAGACCACAGGATGCTGCTGTTCTTCTGTAATTAGTGACCTCAAAAAATTGTTTTCAGATTATATCTAGAGAAAAAAAAATTCTTAGATATAGCCTGAGGTGGGAATTAAAAAAGCCTGAACAAAATTTATTGTTTAAATTAACCCATGAAACAATAAAATTTAACCAGCATCTTATAGACTAATAAAAATAAAAAATTCTAATGCAGTTTCATGGCTAGATGATTTGATTTAAAGATTATGTAGGGAAAGAGATGACTGAAGCTGGAAACCAGAAGTAAACACCAAGCACCAGCAAAAAACATTGCAAATTGCTGCTGTTTGACTGCAGGACACTGCAAATGGCCATAAAGGTGAACCAATTGCCAAGTATCCAAAATGTAATCATCTGATTGTGGGGAGTGCAGCTGTTGTAATTTTGAAAATGAATTGTAAGTAGCTCTTGGGAGCTCCATCATAACTTTGAACAATCATTAAGCAACCAGTTGTAAGTTGAGTACTATCTGTATTTAGGTCTGAGCTGGCAGATTGTGCCAGCTACTGGACTAACATATTAGGAAAAGTACTTAATTTCATATTTTACAAGTCTGTGTTTCCCCAAACATCATAAAAATGGCTTCTTACCCAACAGTAAGACTTCTACTTCACATAATATTACAAGATTATTTATTCAATTGTAAATTAACATAATGGGGAAACTCAACTATTTATAGGTATAAACTATGTTGTATGGTTTAATAGGCATTTTGGTGGAGTAATATTAAGAAAGCCATTGGGCCTAAGCTTGGGGCCCTGAATGGTGCAGGGATCTATTTCATGGTTAATTTAGTCATGATGGGAACTTTATTCTTAGCTGCTATGTATTTTAATGCTTGCATTATTATTTTTTTTACATTTTGTTTGCTGCCCAGGGTCACTTGAGGAGTTGGGAGGTCATACAAATTGAACAAGCCACAATAAAAACAAATGCGCAAGGATTTCAGCTCCCCTCCATGCATGGAGAGGAAATCTTTTGGCTACAGGAATGGAGATTTCAGCTTGTCTCTGTCCTCTCTGCTTGCAACCTCCCCTCTTGGCTTCCTCACTGACTTTCTGGGGAAGTTCATAGAGAAAATTGCAAATGGTGATCACATGATCCCCAGTGGACTTGGCAACTGGTTGTAAATCTTAGGCAGTTGCCAAGCGCTGAAATAATTGCCTGGTGGGGGCACCATATTTTACCTTTTCTGAAGCTGTTGTAACTTTGAATGTTCATTAAATGAGTGGTTGTAAGTTAAGGACTGTTTGTAAAACAGTTTTCCATTTAACATATGCTGGTTTGTTTGAATGTAGACAAATGGGGTTGGAAGATTTATTTCCAGTGAATTCCAGAAGCACTCCTAAATGGCTGTGTTGACATAGGTTTGAAGGAAAAATAGGTTCCATCTTTGAAATGGTGGATTTTACATATTCTTATTGGAGACCAAGTACATATTTTCATGTTTGCAGGAGGAAGAGGCTCGCCAACAGCCAGGAGGACCTCAGTTTGGTGGTTTCCCAGGTGTGTATTCATCTCAGAGTATTTATAGAAGAAACTTGAGCTTCATGTGAATTGGGATCATAATATTTTGCTTAACTTCTGGAGGAAAAAGAAAATCTATGTTTTATACTTGGATTCATCAAACAATAGGAAGTGCTGTATTTCTGATATTTGTATATAACACTCTAATATTACTATCGATTATCCTTGGCTGTGATATTAACCAGTGTAACATGGATTTCAGCACACGAAACATAGGAAAATAGACATAACTTTATTTCAGTCATTGACCAATAAAAATACAACCAATAAAATGAATAACACAGTACTATTCTCTAACAAGAACTATTAGTAACCATTTGTGAATAATAATAACAACAACAACAATAATGTTGGAAGGAACCTTGGAGGTCATCAAGTCCAACCCCCTACTCAAGCAGTTAACCCTATACCATTTAGGACAAATGGCTGTCCTGTTTCTTCTTAAAAACTTCCAGTGTGGGAGCATTCACCGCTTCTGGAGGCAGGTTGTTCCATTGATTAATTGTTCTAACTGTCAGGAAGTTTCTCCTTAGTTCTAGGTTGCTTCTCTACTTGATTAGTTTTCATCCATTCTTGTCCTGCCTTCAGGCACTTGGAAAATAGCTTGACTCCCTCTTCTTTGTGGCAGCCCCTGAATAATGTAGCAAAATTTTGCTGCTTTTAGAGAAATAAAATTTATCTTGATTATTTAACAGCTATCTGAGTACCCTGGAAATTTAAATAAAACAGGTATAATTAACTTGTGGATTATTATATGATGCAGATGTAACTAAGATATAGTCCCCTGTAATACTTTTTGTATAACAATATTCCTTATATTTTCAGGTGGTTTTCCTGGAGGCATGCCTGGAATGGGAAGCATGCCTGGTCTCAATGAAATTCTTAGTGACCCTGAAGTTCTTGCAGCCATGCAGGTGAGGAATAATTGAGAAAGGAATGCTGCTACAACATAAGAATTCTGATTCCTTTTTAAGACCTCCTGCCACAATTACTATAAATTTTTGCACGATTGTATTTGTTATTTCCAGAGATTTTTATTTTGGTTTTTTATTAATTCATTCTACAAGTTAGCATTTGTAGGATCCTGGAAACAAAAGTTAACTAGAAAAAATAGGTGCGCACTTCTTACAAATTGTTGTTATCATGGTTTGTCACATACTCAGCAGATGTTTAGACTGGATTTGGCATTTTTACCCACCTACTGAGTCTCCTAAAGACATGGGACAGGCAAGTGTTCTTGTTTGATCATGTTAAGGGTTGGTATCATTGCAGGATGTAAGCTATTCCAAGCAAAGCTGCCTTTTGCAATTGGCTCATGGTACATTTTGTTATCATTATGCAACCTGATTTCCAGCAATTCTAGTATGGTTTAGAATAAATAATCAGCTCTAAATACCTGATATATTCAGTTATTAAAATTTTCTGCAGTATGCAGATTTTTTTTTTACAAAGCAGCAATAATTTTCCACTTTAACGCAGTTTAAAAATGCATCCCATAATTGAGGTTTCTTTTAAGAAGGCTATCATAATATATAGGAATTGAATTAGCGTAAACAGCAAATAACATATCTGTAGTTTAATGGATACTAACATTATCTCTGAACCTTGCATTAGAAGCATGTCACAAGGTTGCATACTCTGTTACCTACCTTCAGTAAAAAGCAATGACTCCAAACACTGGATGCAAATGAATGGTTATAAGTAGAATAGACTTTGGTTGTGATAGTTGCACTTAATTTAAAACTTTACAATACACATACTAGAATAATAAGTTGCATATATTTCTGAGGGACAGGTTCATATTGTAGCAGTATTCACTATTCTCTTTTGCTGGGGTATAGTATATTTTCTTCCTGCTTCTATACCTAGCTATAAAATAACAACTTTGCACATCTTTAGTTTTACATATTTGCTTTCCATGCCAGCTTATTTTATTGGTGCTTGCATCCTTATATTTAGTAGCCATTGAGAAGCTACCAATTTCAATCCTTTGTCCTTGATAAATCCCTTCCTAGCTTTTGTTATTCCTGTTTTTAGCCACGTCCTCTCTTAGTCTTTCATGTTGTATGGTAGTTTCTTTGGTAATCCCTCTGATCATACAGGACATCAGTATCCAAGTCAATCGTGGGATGTACTTGTTAGGTCTTTGTTGAATTTTGATAGGTGGTCCAAAACAGCATATTGTATTTACTTTAATCATAATTTCATGTACTGATTTTTGCTTTTCAGATCATACTTTATGAAATGATTTAGATATAATCTAATATAGTGCTTAGTACTCATTAATTTTACTGTAATTTTTTTACTTTATATTTTATGATTGATTGAAGTGTAAAATGTCCATAAAAATTCACATCATACTATCCTAGTGATACTGTCAAATTTCAGAGCACTTTTTTCCCTCTGCTGCAACAGTTATCGCTTCTCAACTTGCCAATGAACTTTGGGAGGGGAGAGCATCAGTTTGGTATGCAGACTTCAAAGATAAAAAGCCAGACCATGAGAGTCAAGGACATTACACCAGACCTAGAGATGCTTTCTCATAATAATATTTTTCCACTTGATTGGGCAACCGGACCCAGAGGGAGGGGGGAGAATTCAATGCTTTTACTATGTGGATTTGGGAGGGGTCTTGCCAGAGCTGGTTTTGCTTTCATAATGTGCTGAATTGGTGTACTCAATGAAGTTTTGCATTAAGAAATTGGAATGTCTTGAAGATGTTTGCTTGGTTGGGTTATAAGTCAGAACCATAACAGATACATTTTAATCTTTTCTTATTTTACAGGATCCAGAAGTAATGGCAGCTTTTCAAGATGTCGCCCAGAATCCAGCAAATATGTCAAAATACCAGAATAACCCTAAAGTCATGAATCTCATTGGCAAACTTTCATCCAAATTTGGAAGTCAACCATAAAATTTCTTTTCATTGCAAGACATGGGGGAAATATTGATCGCTTATTATATATTGCAATAACACAAGCCATTGTACTGCTAATTCTCAAATGAGAACTAGGCTGCTTTGGATAGAATCCATTTTCCTCTTTGTTTCAAAAATAAATATTAATTAACAACTATATTCAAGGTTCACATAAAACCACCTCGTCCCACCTTTCTACCATGCCTATAATTTTCTTACTGAAAACAGTTTGTTTTTAAATTGTATAATTGTTATTTCTTAGTAGATCCAAAAATATAGAGTGATAGAGGATGACATTTGGAGTGGAGGAATGATGGTTCTGTTTATGATGGTTTGGGATAATTGGACTGTTTAATTTCTAACACAAATGAGGCTAACACAAATTCATTTTCAGTTCTTAAATTCACAAGAATTACTTAAACTGTTGAAATCAACTCTTCTTGGATCACATCCTTGCACTGGAAAGAAGTACCCTAAATGTTGCATGCTTTGGCTTTAACTATATTGGTACAAATGAAACTGAGGCTGGAAACTTTGCAATCAGTGTTGAGCAGATTAATGTGCTACTCATCTATATCACAGTGAGCAAATGTTTTTATCAACACCAGTAAGCTGATTACTTGAATGATTGGAGCCCTTTAATTATTTGTACTAATTTTTGCTATTGAATATGACTAATTCCTTAGTTTTGAGGGAGGGAAGCAAAGTGGTTCCCATTACCATGTAATATTCATTATACACTTAAGAATATAGGTAAAAATATAACTATGAAATGGTAATGACCTAGATACTAAGTTAGAAAGGTATATACACCATCTATCTCTAATGTCATGTTATATGAATACATACGGTGCAAAAGGAAGAACAAAAACTATTCATTGAAATCCTTGCTATGAAATATTTACTGATGGCTAACACAAATCTCTACCTTTTTAATTATCTGCTCAATCTTGGAGGGCCTGTTATAATTAGGTTTTGTTTTTTTTCTAGGGGTTTTGAATGTTTCCAGTTCTGTGCTCTTGTAATTTGTCTGAATCCATAAGTGATGTATGTTTTCTGTTTTTAATTAAACCTCAACTGGTTTAGAAATTCAATATATTCTTAAAATAAAATCCATATAGTAATTATCTTGTCAAATTAAAGGAAATATGACTTCATTTTTGCTTAAGAAATAGTTATGGAAGTACTTCTAGATGCCTTTAAAATAATAAAGACTGGTTTTGAAGAATCTTCTTGGTTTATCTGTTAACATTTAATTAATGAGAGGTAAAATTCACAATCTATGTATTCTATGGATCAGGAGAAATTTTCCTTTTGATTAAGATGTAATTGGATTATTGAATGAGTATAGGTTGTCCTTGATTTATGACTGCAGTTAGGATCAGAATTTTGGTAATAAAATTGTTGGAATCATAAGTCAAGGCACTACATGACTGGGTCTGATTTTTAGACTGTTTTTCATTGATCATTAAGCAAATTATGTAAGTCCAAATTCGTTTTCCAAATGTTTTTTTTTTACCTGAAACTGGCAAAAAACATTGCAAATCACAGTCATATGAACACAGGACACTAACCAATTGTAAATGCAGTTAAGGAGGCATGGTGCAACATTTTATGAAGGCCACAAGTGCTTTATAGGCCATAAAGCACCTTTTATAAGGCTGTCATAACTCTGAACAGTTATTAAACGGCTGGTTGTAAATGGATGACTATTGCAGTTACATGCAAGATATGCTATTTTCTAAAAATTTTCAGAATATTTCCCTTCTCTATTTTCAGGATGAGTTGGTGATTTTTATGATAACTAGAACAATAGCAACTAATTTACAGTGTTGATAAATGCTCAGATGTAATTTGGAGCTTGGTTACAGGGTAGGAATTATTTATCCTTTATCCTTAAATGAAAATAAAGTTATTTTTAATATATTGGAACAATCTATATCAGTGGTGGTGAACCTATGGCACGCGTACCAGAGGCAGCACTCGGAGCCCTTTCTGTGGGCACACGTGCCATTGCCCCAGCCTCACCTCCCCCCACGACCTCCTCCTCATCAGCAGCCCCCCCTGGGGGAGTCACCCCTGAGCATGGCCCATGTGGAGCAGCACAGCCAAGGACATGGCAGCCGGGCAGTGTAGACAAGACTCTGCCCTCATGCCCCATCGCGCACAGTTGATGCTGCGGGGTGCGGGCAGAGAGTGGCTGCCATGGAGCTGCTGGGCTGCCTGGGCAATCTGAGAGGCCCTGGAGGTGGTGAGTGGTCCTGTGGGCAGGTGGGGTGGGGGCGGAGCAGGGACATGGGTGGAGTGGGGGTGGGGCCAGTTTTTGGGCACTCAGTCACTAAAAGGTTCGTCATCACTGGTCTATACTGCAAAAGTTAATTTTTTAACTTGCAAAAATGTATGAATGTTTTATTTAGCACACCTTAAGAAAAAGTACAGGTAGTCCTTGACTTTCAGCCACAATTAAGCCCAAAATTTCCATTGCTAAGCAAGACAGTTAAGTGAATCTTGCCCCATTTTATGACCTTCTTGCCATGTTTGTTAAGCAAATCACTACAGTTAAGTGAATAATGTTGTTTAGCGAATCTGGCTTTCCCCCATTGACTTTGCTTGTCAGAAACTCAGAAGATTGCAGATGACAATTTCAGGACCCTGGGACACTGCAATCATTGTAAATACACGTCAGTTGCCAAGCATCCAAAGTCATGTTGACTATGGAGATCCTATAATGGTCCTAAGTGTGGGAATTAGTCATAAGTCACTTTTTTTCAGGGCCATTGTAACTTTAAATGGTCATTAAATGAATAGTTGTAAGTCAAGGACTACCTGTATAAGAAATTGATGTAAGTTAGTTGATGCCATTTACATTGTAGATCTTGCGTGCTACTGCTTGTGAAAATTCCACTGTTGCAGTCTTTGGCTTGTTAACTATATTATTTGAAGCAGGTAATACCTGAAAAACTGGTTTGAGACTAAGGCAACCCAAAAACGTGAGACAAACTGTTTTACAAAATCTATCCCGGATCTTACATTTGTACACAGACTGAGAAATATATTTAAGAACACAAACTAGTATATATAGTATATAAATCTTGTACAGCAAAAAAAAAAAAAAAAATCAAATTACTCTGTATTTTCCCACAAGGAAATAACAATAAACAGGATCAGTTTTTGTGGATGATGGTATCTTATTTAGTAGTTACTAAAGTTATTTTAAAGAAAAAAGGAAAAACAAGCATTTCATAAATATACCTAAATATACATAAACAGTCTGGCTGTCTTGCTTGCCCCTATTATCAGTTCAGCATTTTTCCCTACCAATTGGTGTCACCCATTTTATAAAAACATAGAAAATAAACTGTATCTTGACAATGATAAATGCATCTGTTTGCTGAATACAGTTGAATTATGTTGATCCAGTTGGATCAAAAGTGAAAACATGTTTGCTGAGCAACAGGCAGGTTTTAGAAGGGACTCTTAGCCGGGAAATATTCTTCCTAGCCCAGACTTGATATTTTCACAGTCCTCATTGATTCCAAATCAGATTTTTTGTTAATCCCAAGGGAGAGACTGGAATAAATGAAAGGGATCCTCAATACACAAAGGGTTGCTGCTTTTCTTTATTCTAACACAAGCTTTGAAAATGAACAGTTTGTGATTATTTTCCCTGGAGCATCTCTCTGGAGCTATCACTGCATCCTCCACCTATTATGCCTCAAGGATAAGGCAAGGTTGCATTTTAGTTCCTGTACTTTTGAATTTGTATATTTACACAGTATTTCAGGTACTCTTGGTTTCTACATCGCCTCACTTACGTATTAAGTTGAGTGGTCCCAGGGCTTTTACATGCAGTCAATCATTTGAAGGGTGGTCTCTTCCTCCTTGCAACTTGCAAAGCATTTATGGCCAACATCATTTCTCATCTCTTTAGTGTTCAAGTCTATACTACAAAGTTTGATATTTAAGCTGTCTGGTCTAAGTTTATTAGAATAATACCAACATGTATTAAAAATATTGCTCTACATTTTGAAACAGGCTTGGTCTCTGCCTCATAGCCTTTTTAACTGTTAATTTTTGTTCCCCAGCAAAAGGTTTCTTAGAGAACTTTTTAAGTCAACCTGGCTAAAAAAAAGTTATTGGCAAGCTCCATCCCTAGGGTTTGCATTGAACAGCCTCTGCCCACTAGACTCTGAAAATGTCAGAAGTGTTCTTAAGCAGTGGGTCTGGGATATAGATTTTAAATTAAGTGTGGGGTTTCAAATTGGTCAAACTGGATAATTGTCTTTTGCCATTCTATTGGAGCACTAAAAATACCTCTTTTCAGCAAAGCGCATGACCCTGTGGGGATGGCTCAGTAGTATCTGAGCCTATGCTTCCCCCCCCCCCCATCTGTTCAGGAAATCCCAGATGATTTTCATGCTTCCTATCCTAAAGAATTTCCCTGGAAAAGAGTAGGATTTCTATTTGTCGTTTCTCCTGTCTCATCAGTATCCTTCCATAGCTTCTAGGATTGTTCAGTTTTATACTTCCATATACACCATCCTTTTTTGTGTTGATTTTGGATTTTTTTTATCCAGACTTTATTATTTTATAAATAACTCAAGGAAGGCAGTGAAAATCCCTAATACTCTTTCCTCCTCCCATTTTCCCTAAATTACAACCCTGTGAGGTGGAGTTGGGTCGAGAAAGTCTGACCCAAAATCACCCAGCCGGCTTTCATTACTATGGCAAAACTAGAATTTATAATCTCATGGTTTCTAGCCTTGTTCCTTAACTAAGAATTCTATTATACATACATACATACATACATACATACATACATGTTTTATTGTATTTGACCACTGAATTTATTGCTGTAATGGTTGACTGATTGAAGTTTCATAAATTGTTGTCAGGATTAGCCATTTTATTGTGTGAAATTTCAAATGAGCATATTGAGTCTGCTTAATTTTATCTGTTGTTCTTGTGCAGTCGCACAATAGGCAAAATATGAAATTAGCAGTAACCATTATAGCAAAGGATGCTACCATAACTTACAGCAATGATTCTTAAATCTACACATTTGTGGAACATTTATTGAATCATGTAAAAATAAATATTAAACCTTCTAGACACAATATTTTTGATGAAAAATCCTCTATATTTAACAAAAAAATAATGAAGCTAAGTTTTAAATTTTTGCAAATATCTTCAATATCTGGCAAGTAATTTTGGTTTTTGGACCTGAGAGTCTTGAGAAACCCCCAGGAATAAAAGACTACGCTTTAAGAAATATTGGCTTTACCAGCACTTCATATTGCATTTGATATAAAGCTAGTACTACCGTTGAGTGACATTCCAAAGATATTCCCCTCCCAGATTATTTTCTTCGCAACAGGTTTGATTTTAAAGTAGCCTTTTCTTCGTTTTTGGCTTTAAATTCTACGTGAAGTGTATCCATCCTTTTTGGGAACACTTTTGACCTATGCGCTATTCTGTCCTCTGCTAATTGTCAGATGTGTACCTATCCCTCAAATAAAAAGGCCATGAAAAGAGAAAGCTCTTTATTTTGCTTTGGGCATCTGCCAAATCGATAGAACTCTCAAAAAAGCAAAGGTGATAGACAAACAACAAAACTATGGCCAAACCGTCGCTAAGAGAACAACTTGAGGTCGTTGGACTTAAATTGCTGGGGAGGGAGGATGCGGGCAAGCGGGATAAGCAGGGCGCGAACTTCAGCAGCCCTCTTCCTCTCCGACATATTTCGCGATCCGTGTAAGGGCCGCTGTGTGATTGGCGGAGTGCAGGAAACATCAGCGACGTCACATAGTACGGCAGCGTCCTGGCCAGGGGTGGTGCCGCCGATACGTTGCTTCCCCCTCTAGCCTCTCCGTTTCTGTGCTCTTTCATGCAGCCGGGGAAGATCGCAGCAGTGGCAATTGGGCCCTGCCAAAGGTGCAGCTATGGTCGGCGTCTTCTCCTACGAGAGCTTGGTCCATGCCGTGGCTGGAGCTGTGGTGAGTAGGCTGCGGAGGGAGCGAGTGTGAGGAAGACCCGGAAGTGAGGTGACAGGATTTTGCTAGGTTGAAGGAAGGCATGGAGATGGAGGGGACCTCGGGCTTGTTCCCCCTGCCTTTGGTGCATTGGGCTAAAAAAAATAAAAATAAACTGCTGTTAGCTTTCGAAATCGAGCGCTCTTCGTAATTTTTGTCTTAGCGGTTGCCTGTTAGTTTGAACTGCCATCCTAAGTATTATTATTTACTTTCACGCTCCGTTTGCACAGGAGCTTGAAGAGTATAGGTTATCGATAAAACCATTGCTGCAGAAGAAAATATTACATTTTTCCTCCTGAATGATTTCATAAGAATTGAGTTCAGCTTTAAATAACATGCAAACGTTAATTGCAGTCTTTAAAGGAAGACTGATACTTTCAAGATATACTTTGAGATATGTTTTCTGCCTTGAATTATTTGTGAAAATATTAAGGCAAACAAATAAAATATAACCTTGTTAATTGTACAGTACATTGGATTAAATGACTACTTGCTTGTCTGTTTTCACCTAACTGCAAATCTGTTTATCAATACCTAGGGTCCAGAATTTTGTCAGGATATGCCAATGTTTGTTACTGAACCTGGAATTTAACTTGGTGGATGACTTAGCTTTCATTTTAGATGCCCACTCTAAATTTCTCTCATCTAGAAAATATTTCTGTTTCTAATTTCAATTTACAGTAATTGCTTCTCTTCAGATCCATTGATTATGTCTTATCAGATTGGTGCTATCTCTTCGCATTCATATAGGGTTTTTTTTTTTCAAGAATTCAAGTCTACAATCTGAATAGAAAAAGGTTCAGTATTCTGGGTTTTTTTGTTGTTGTTCTTTTTTTAAAAAAAAGTTTAGGAACTTTGGTTTCTAAAATTTTGAAAAGCATCAAAATTATCCGGTTCAGCATTTTTATGTCTTATTTTATCCTAATAACTTCTATGATTAGTTGTTTAGTACACGTCATCAACATGCCTGTTAAAAAGATCTTTTGTAATATATATATCATTGATACAACAATTAGAAACTGCAAACAGTTTTTAGATCAAATGGATTATAGTTATTTATGAATGTTTTAATATCTGGATCATTGTAATGAAGCATATTGTACAATCTAAGAATCAGCACAGATGCTACCTCTTTTTATTATCAGAGATCCAGATTAAAAACATAATCAGGGATACAGTAGAAAGAATCAAGAAAAATAATTATTTCATTAAGGAGCCCCTGCTCATCATATCTGTCAGAATGATGTCAGAATAAAATGTCTAATCTTAGTATTATATATGCCAGTATAATCACACACACAAATGGATTCATAAAATTATACTTAACAAAAGGAAGCCAATTTTTGAAAAAGGTGTTTTCCCACAAATCCATCCTGTTATAATCTCTTCTACTAGAGTAAGTTCAGAACTTTAAATAAAGTATTGCTGTCATTTTCATATGCTATTCACTATTATGAGTTCTTTTTGGTAAACGCTACATCCCAAAAAAGGGGAATCATTTTTCTTCCCTTTGTTACAAGGGATTTTTTATTATACCAAAACATAGTGATCCTTAAACAGAATTTATGAAACCTTATTTCTTACCCATGACCCTCTTTTTGCATATTCTGTGTTAGACAGATTTGAATTATATCTGTGAAAAGATAACATCATTAGTTAGCTGTATCTTTGGCTGCTCTCTCAGCTGGGCAAATTCCTTAGTTCCAGTTCTAGCCACCTCTTAACCAATCTTTAGGTACATTAAAATTAGCTGGTTTTGTTGCTGTCTTATGATTCAATATTTTCAGCCAAGTACCAATTCTGCCACCCTGACTGCTGATAGAATTTAAGCATCTCATAATTTTTTGCTAAGAAAAGTTCCTTACCAGCTGTTGGATGGCTGTTACTTGTCAGTGTTTTTACTTTTGAGTCTGAATTCCACACACCCCTTTCCTACATTGTCATTTACCCATTTTTGTCTGGCATTTCCCCCTCTTTCACTTGTAACTTTAATTTCTCCTGCTGTCCCAAATAATTGCAACTGCCCATCTCCAAATACAGTATACACCCATATCTAAATATTGAAGACATATTTCTCTTGGAGCACAGGTGTGGCCCAGCTACTCATGCTGTCTTAAAGGTGTGGGAGAGTGTTACTGGATAAAAGAAGGAAAGGAAGGGCTTTTATTGACTGTTGTAAGGCTCTACTTCCATACAGAGAAATTAGATTATACAATTATACAAATAAATTGTCTTGAATTTTGTATCTGTTTATATGTGAGGTAGTTGCTCAGTCTTGGAAAGCAAATTATTGCTCAGTTAAATAGTAGTTCAAGATTGATTTGCATGTGAAATATAAATAGTTTTTATCTACTCAGTCTATTATAACTTGTTTAGACCTGCATAGGTAGAACAGGAATGAGAATGCCCTAGAATTATTTTATGTGCTCATTGACTTCTAGCTCATGGATTTAAGATTATCAGATTGCTAAATAAGTTTCACATTTCTTACGTATCTGAATAATGTCTAATCGCTTGTTAGGACATGTTATAAAGCGATGCTTAAAAGTTTGTGAATCCTTTTTTATTTTCAATATTTTGCATAACTATGACCTAATAGTTTTGAAATATTATCTAAAATGTGATCTGTTTGCCACACAATTCTAAAACTAAATAGAATTTGATTAAACAAATGAGTCAAAAACTATATACTTGTTCCATATATTAGGAATGCAATATATTGTTTGTATTAATTCCTCCTTTCCTTCTTTGATAAGTATAATAAAGATTAATGTTAAAACTATAAATAGAAAGCTACAGAGATAGATTGTGTACAATATATCAATATTGTGCTTCACCCAAAGATCTTATCAGAACTGTACTATATTTACCGTACTGTAAATCAAATATAAATATTAAATTATTTCAGTGTGTCTGGAATATGCACAAAATCTGTTTCAAATGCATATAGTATCAAACTGAACCTTAATTTATTGTGAACCACATTTTTAAGGGGTGGTTGTATGCAGATTTTTTAAAAATAAATACTTTCATTGCAACGGTCAGAACCACAAAGTTCTGTTTAAGTTGAAAGTAAATTCATGTACAGGAAGTTTTTTCACTGCCATATTTCATAATGTTTGATGTAGCTTTCTTTCAGGCAAGGATTTAAAAATATCCTCCTGAGTTGCCCAGTTTTGTATTGTTGCCTGTGCAATATGCTGCACCACTAATTAAGTCTGGTTACTTATCACTTTTGTAGCAATGTATTTTATTATATATGTTCTTATTTTAGATTCTATTTTAGTCATGGTTTTCCTGTTACATACATTGATGTATGTAATAGTTCTACTATTAAATATCTTAATAATAATAATAATAATAATAATAATAATAATAATAATAATAATAATAATAATATAAAGTTGGAAGGGGCTTGGAGGTCATCTAGTCCAGTGGTTCTTAACCTGGGTGATATCGCCCCCCGGGGGTGATTTCATTTTTCAGGGGGGCGATGGAACAAAAAGGGGCGACATGGGGCGAAGGAACGAAAAGGGGGCGATATGGGGGCAATGGAACAAGAGGTTTGGGGGACACTTTTGAGACTTTTTCGTACTGTGAATTGCTGTATATCTGTCATGAAAAAACATTAGATCGCTCACTATTAGTGGATTGAATTGTGTTTTCAAATGTTCCTCCAGCTAGCTTCAGTACAGAACGCCATACATATGTGAATATGCATCGCTTATCTTCATGCACATTGAGCAGCAGCCTCTACCCATACAGTGGCGCGCCATTGGCCAGAATGGGCAGTAATGGAGGGGGAAGCACTTCTTTCGAAACATCGCATGCTGAGTGGCTGTCCCCTGTGACGTCAGCTGTATTGTCAGCTGTAATGTTGAAGATCTCTGAGTGCGGTGATTTAAGAATGTGATTAACAAAAATGGTTCCAAACATCAAGAAATTGGCATCAGCTCACCAAGCACAAGGCAGCCATTGATGTTCTTTTTTTTTTTGCTTTTTGTACACATACATTTTTCGTTAATAACTGTCTGAGCTTTTATCATTATATTTGCTTGCATTGGATTTCACGTTCCAGTTTGACTTTTTGGCTTCATTTTTGAATTTTTGTTGTGCTCTGTAAAACATTTTGTGTGTCTCTTTGTATTGTACTTTTTTAGCGTGCACTCTAGTTCGATATTATATTTTCTTTGTGTCTTTTAAATCCTTTTTATAGTGTGCGTGACTATATATACTTTCCTCGAATCTTAATTTAGTTTCAGAGTTTTCATCTTGAAATTCTTAGTTCCTGCATTGCGGTTTGTTCTTATGCCCTTTTTATATTTCTTTTTGCGTCTTAAATTTCACTTGTAATTCAATCATTAAATGTGACGGGTGGCACCAAAATTTTTCACACAGTTGACATATGGGGAAAAGACTGGAAATAAATTATTTGCATCGATATGTCCTGATGACAATTTTAAAGAAAACAAAAAAAAAGTGTTTGCATAAATTGAAGAATTATTTCGTATGTTGTGATTGAGAGGTTACGTTGGGGGAGGGGAGCGATGACAACTTCCTCATTGGCTCAAGGGGGCGATTCGTTCAAAAAGATTAAGAACCACTGATCTAGTCCAACCCCCTGCTCAGGCAGGAAACCCTATACCATTTCAGACAAATGGCTGTCCAATCTCTTCTTAAAAACTTCCAGTGTTGGAGCATTCACCACTTCTGGAGGCAGGTTGTTCCACTGATTAATTGTTCTAACTTTCAGGAAATTTCTCCTTAGTTCTAGGTTGCTTCTCTCTTTGGTTAGTTTCTATCCATTGCTTCTTGTCTTGCCTTCAGGTGATTTGGAGAATAGCTTGACTCCCTCTTCTTTGTGGCAACCCCTGAGATATTTATGATATTTATGATATTTATGACTCGTGGACTTCAACTCCCAGAATTCCTGAGCCAGCATTGCTCAGGAATTCTGGGAGTTAAAGTCCACGAGCCATAAAAGAGCCAAGGTTGCCTACCCCTGAACTAGACATATCCAATTCCAGCAACTATTCCTTATATGTTTTAGCCTCCAGTCCCTTGATTATCTTTGTTACTCTTCTCTGTACTCTTTCTAGAGTCTCAACATCTTTTTTACATCGTGGTGACCAAAACTGGATGCAGTATTCCAAGTGTGGCCTTACTTTATCTAGTCAAATGGCTGTCATAAACTGATTTGATTTAATATAGGTCATTGTAGCTTTACAAAAAAACACCACATGCTCTACATAGTTAATTTTTTATGCTAAATGTTTTAGGGTAGTGTGACAGCAATGACTGTGTTTTTTCCTCTGGATACAGCTAGACTAAGACTTCAAGGTGAGCAACACATTTTTTTACATTTAACCTTTGAGAATATTATATATAACTTACTAATTTGTTTTTGCATTTATATCTTAAAATTTGTTCAGGGTAATAGCTGATCTTCATTTTGCTAGCTGTTAGTATATTTTTGTATTTATTTAGTTCACTCTGTTTTTATTTGTTTTTGTTCTTTTAAGTTTTACTGATCATTGACCAAATAAATATTATTGAGTGATTGATCTGTTTTATCCAAAAATTTTTGGAGAAATGCTAGGCTACTACCTATTGACTTATAAGTGACAGCTGATGCATTCTGTGGCTGACCAGGACTTTTTATTGATTTCAAATTACAAAATAATTGGGATGCCAAAAACTATGGTTAGTATTTTCTTTCTAAGTACAACTCTCCCCTATTTTTTAAAGACATTGTGTACTCAGCAATAACCCAGTCACAGATGTGGGTTATTAATAATTTTGCAAAGTATATTGATAAATACATCATGTCTTTGTTGTGATAGACTTCAGAAAATGGAACTTGCAAAATTTTTGCTACCTTGGAAACCTTTCAGATTCCTAATTAAGCTGATGAATCCCTTTAGTATGATATTGTTAGAGTCATTAGAGAAAAGACTCATTAACAACTATATTATTTTGGGTTTCTAAACTGCAGGAAGATATAATCTGGATGTTCTAAAAGGTTATTATTCTTTATTCTCTATACTGTAGCGATGGAAGAAAGTTATATTCACATGGCAAATGTATGTTTTAGGAAAATACAGTAACCTCCGTTTGAGAAATGTAGAGGTGCTGGAGAAATCCTTTCAAAAATTAATTTTATTCATCATTTAGGATTTGGTGGTTAAGTGTAGAAGACAGATATTTAAAACTGAAAACTGGCAACCAATATAGTTATACTTACAGCAGATATAAAATAAAATGCAAGATCTATGCATTTCGTTTTTGTAATTTGTACAAATGCAAACTTTTTTAACCCTATTTCTTAATTTGTGGTCAGTTGTAGACCTATCCATGAAGGACTATTCTGTTTTAGATTGAATCAGTGAACCTGAAGATTAAATAAACAATGCACTTTTACTTCTGCCCTACCTTCCCCATCACATTAGAAAATGCTCTCAAGGCAGTATTGAAATGGATTAAATCATTAAAAAAAAAATTTCTTGTTTTCCAGTGGATGAAAAACGCAAATCAAAAACCACACATGCAGTTCTTTTGGAGATAATTAAAGAAGAAGGCATGTAAGTACCTAGTTTTGCTAGGAGAATTAGTTTTTTAAAACTTCTTCTGTGGAGGACAAATGTGTAAATATTGATCTTCCTAAATTTCAATTAAGTAATTTGAATAGTTATAATTTTAAAAAGCCATTAGAAACTAAAGCATCTTTTAGAAAGCACAGAAAAAAACAACAAAAAAAGAATTGATGAACATATTTTTCTTTGTAATTCAAAATACTATTAAAAAATTAAAAGGGCGGGTTTAATCTATACTAAGGGACTTGCTACAGCATTGTTTCTTCTTCAAGAAAAGTTTCTAGGCAGGAATAACATTGGCTGAAATCTTGTTAGAATAAATTGACGTATATGTAGTTAAAACATCTGTCACATAAAAATATTTATGATGCCTTTGGTATGAACAGAATATTGTTAATTATATAATTACCGTGTGTTAATTTTTAAAATGTGCCTCCATAAAATACTACTATCTCTGAAAGGAAATATTTGAGCAAGAAACAATGTGTTTGAATTGGTTGTTTCTTGCCTTCAGACTGGAATTCTAATCCTTTTAATTTTCCCAGTAATATATCCTGCTGGATTATGTTCATAGTTATGCAAAAATAAATATGTTCAGTAAAATTTAGTCCTGAGTATTGTGTTAAATATAGTTAATAGGTATTTAAATATGTTTTATTTTGTCACTGGTTTCTTGAACAGTTAACACAAAATCCTTCAGTTAGTAGATATATTTAATTGATTAGGTTTGGAATGGGGTACAGATATGCTTTTAGCTATGATGATTGCATTATTTTCATTTTTTGCTTTTGTTATTTTGTTCCTTAGCATTGCACCATATCGAGGGTGGTTCCCTGTTATCTCCAGCCTTTGTTGTTCCAATTTCGTCTATTTCTATACATTTAATAGTTTAAAAACTCTTTGGGTTAAAGGTCATCATTCAACTACAGGAAAGGACTTAATTCTTGGTATGGTTGCAGGTAATAAAATCCTATCAGAAATTTATTGAATTTGGGATATGGAATAATTTATCCATGAAGGTAATTTAAAATAATGAAATAAAGTGGTAAATGTATTTTTAACTTGAAAGGATTTGTCTCATGTACTCTTTTCTAGTTTTACTTGTCTTAGATTTTTTACTTTTTTAATGTTTTATTGATTTTTAAGAATTACAATCTTTAGTGCTTAGTAAACAACATGTTGTCTGGGTTCACATAACTTCTTCAGTATAAATCTGTTCAGTACTGCACAATCCAGTATTTTTTCCCTAATCCTCCTTTCTTCCCCATATTTTTTCCATTTTCCTCTCATTACACAGTTACAATTCTTGCTACTATTGATATATGCAAAATTAGATATAAACATCCTTATCATATTTTACTAATATTATACAAATAACAATAATATCAACTCAGAAATCAATATCCTGTTTTTCATGCTCTTGTTAAGGTTTGATTTCCCATCAATATTTGAAATATCTTTGTCAGTTATGATTTTCTCAATATTAATTACATTTATATAGCTAAAAGTTTTATTCGTGCCAGCCATCCTCTTTTCATATTTCCCATATCAAAAAAAGAAAAAAGAATGTTATTTTAATTCTAAATCATATTTTTCATTATAAAAGTCTAATTATATCGAAGGGTCATCTGTTCTTTTAACCATAGTCAAAGAAATATTTAAACATATAATGCTCCCTCTAATCGGTCAAATCTTCTGTTTTTTAAATCTAACTCTTGCTTTCTTTCTTTGCCAAGTAGCTTTCCAAGCCAGGGCAATTGAAGTCGCCCAGAAATTTTATTTCTATTTTTATAAAAGTTGCTTGGCATGAGGAAGACAATTTAGGCAGGGTATTTTTTTTGGGGGGGGGGGGAATTCCGCCAGTTTATATTCCTTAAGCAACTCCCACTTTCCTTTTCACTCAATTTCTCTTTTCATTTTTTGTCTTCCAAGTTGTGATATTTCCCTTGACAGCTCTATATTCCATTTTTTAAAATCTTCCTTATCATCAGGTATATTTTGCAGACCTAAGGGATAAAGCATCTTTTCCATTTTTGTTGTTATCAGTATTTTATTTGTATATGGTAGTTTATATTTTCCTTTATCTCTTTCATCTCTAAGTCCATTTCCTCTGCTTCATCTTCTAATTTCTGGTTTATTTCTTCATACTTTGTAGTCATTTTCTCCAATTTAATTTGGAGATTTGCTTATTTATATTATCTAAATTGTTTTTAGTCTCATTATGGTTTCTTTTGTGTCTTTGTGTGCCACAATTGTTTGGTGAAGAAGCATAGAATATATTTCCTTCTGAAACGTGTTTATTTTTTCTTGAGGCATCATCCTCTAGTATCACCAATCTTAATAAGAGTAGAATAAAGTTTCATCTAGTTTTCTGGTCTTTATGTGTAGTCTTTATAATTCAATAGGTTCCGGAATATGGGTCTAATCGTAAAAACAATATTTTGTAGTGATCTTTTGTCTCAGGTGTCCAAGAATTTTCTATCAGGCAAGGTTGTAATCTACAATGTTTAAATTGTTCAAAATGTTCGACCACCCTGAAGACTGCTCAAAAGTCTCTCCCAGCCAGACGTAGTCAAGTCAAATTTTTCTTTCCCAATAATTCTTGAGATTAAATGTTCAAACTCAGTAAGTGTTTATAATCCAAGAAGGTCAGGGTGATAAGTATGTCAAAATATTTTCCTTTATTAACAGCTTTTCTCCATTAAGCTAGGAGTCGCCGAGCAGTCAGGAAGCTAGTTGTTGTGCTATACTCAAATCCACCACTGGATGTCATTCAAAATCCATTTTCCACTCTTAAGACAAAGGATTGATTTCTTATATTTCACCTCAATGTTGTTGTTTTTTTTTCAAAGAGAAAATCTGAACAATTATCTCAGTTCACAAATTTATCAAAACTGTAGCTTTATGTTACTTCCACTTCAGTATTATGTATTTCTGTTCCCCATAAAAAAAATTAAAACGCCGCTTCCATTTACGTTCGGAGGTTTTTAGCTTCTTGGGAGTCTTCCCCAGGAAATTCAGTTGTAAAATAGAAAGAAAGGATCAATATTGTCATCCAGTTCCAAACATGCTGTTTACAATCTGCTAATTAGTACTTTTCTTTTTCAGTTGTCAGTGGCTAATGGCTGGCCACAGGAATGTAGCCAATCTTTCTCCTGCCAGTTTGGAGGACTTACCTTGGATCGAGCAGAAAGACCACTGTCTCTCCGTGATCGACAAGGCACCCCTCCTTCTTCATCGCGTCTTTGGGGCGACTTTAGGCCCTTTTAGGGCCCCCAGCAGGGAGAAATTGGGTGCGGAAGGCAGAGCCCTGCCTCCCTGCATCTGTGTTGCTGTGGTGCAAAACCGGAAGATTTTTCACTTTTGTATAACTGAATGTTTCTCTTCATTTCATTATCTTATTTTAGAACATGAGCATGTGCTTAGTTGATGTACATACTCATATTTTTGGAAAGTCATCATTTGATATTAGCAATGGAATGACATAATTTTTATGAAATATTTTAATATAGTGTATATAACAAATTGAAAATGTATATTATGAATTTAACATCAGATGTTTTCCAAAGCAAAAATTGAAAGTTTTAAATATTTGACAAAGTTGGTATTTATCTGATATTCTATCATATTTATATAGCCATCATCACAAACATTCTAGGGAGCGTACAATGAAGCAAAGAGTCAAAACCATCTGTAGCAACAGTTGAAAATAATTAAACACAAATATAAATAAGACAGAAGTAAAATGGATCAGCATCCTATACACAATGTAACAATCTCACAAGCTTACTATTTTCATGGGATTCTCTGCCTGCTGGAAGAACTCATTTTTATTTCCTGAAGGCCAGTAGAATTGGCCTCACAAGTAGCAGGAATAATGTCACAGAGGGTGGGTGCTATGGTAGAAAAGGTCTACCTCTGGGTTCCTGTCAAATGGAAATCTTTAGCAGAAATAACACACCCTTCCTGCCAGGCCTGATGGGACAGGTAGATGTAACTGGGGAGAGATAGTCCTTCAAAAAATCAGCATCTTGAATTGAACCTGGAAATAAACCAGCAACCAATACAGCTCACAGAGCAGAGATATAATGTATGTCTTTCTATGGCTGCCAGCATTGCCACATATTTCTTGATCTGTATTATTTATTCTAACTTGTGTTATTCTCTGATATTATGTGCCACTTAAGGTTATCTGAGATAACCTTTTGAATCCTTAATTTTATTTAACAGTTTAGCACTTCTTATTTTCTCAGTGCATGATTTCATGATGAAGTTTCATGTGGGAAGATTGCATCAAGTTAGGACAAATATTTGGAAATAATAAGGTGTGCAACTGTTGTGAAAAACAAGCTTGCTTTTCTTGCCTACCTCAATGAAATGTGTAATAATTGGTAAAGAACTAAAATAAAGCAAGCTCCATAGAAGTCTATGAACTGCAGAAACTTTTTGGATGAGAAATGTTTTCAAGGAAAAAACCAACTTCAGTTGCCCTTTTGGAAAAGCACCTTTGGGAGAAGCTCCCTTGACTTTCCATTTTAAATATTTTTTTCCTCTAGAATAAATTCAGCCTAGATTTTGTGAAGTATTTCAAATGGTACCTTTTCTGCTTCATACATTAAAGTTAAAATTTTAATTTTAATTATCTGAGGCCTCTTTTTACTGAATTTTGCTTCTCTTTCCTTAGGTATAGTGAATGTACTGTTGACTACTCCGCTCTGGGTGGTAAACACCCGTCTTAAACTCCAGGGGGCAAAATTTAGAAATGAAGATATTATACCAACCAATTACAAAGGCATTGTAGGTAGGTTGTTGGGGAGGTTGCCCTCATCTATTGTAATGTATATAAATTATGCTTTTCAGCCATAAGCTACTTTCTTTTTCAAACTCAGAATATCAAGACATACCTCCACCACTCTTGAGGCAGCATTTTGGCATAGTTTTCCATGCTCATCAAACACCCAGTGCTTTTGATAGACTTGAAAAAGCTGCTATGCTCTCAATATCCTACAAATTGTGTGAAAAAAGAACTGATACAAAAATGCAATGTATTTCATGTTCTCCCATACATGAGCTACATTCTCCAGAGATTTCAGCTTCATTTTGATTTTATTAACATATATTGTGTTTCCTACACACAATGTACAATCTCACAAGATTCGGGGTTTTTTTTTGCCTCCAAAAGAGGCACCAAATCTTATTTTAGGCAGGGTGTATGTCTTTTTCACAAACCACTGGCACCAACAGCCCTGCCCCACCAATAGCCCCGTATACCGCTTAGAGAGTGCTTGCACTTAAAGCGGTATATAAGTCTCATAAATAAATAAATAAATCCAGCCGGCCCACTTCTTCTGCAGCCGAAGGAGCAGCTTCATTCTGCAGCTGAGAATGGAGCTCCGGCCTGCATTTGGCAGTCAAAGGCCTATGGATTGTATCCGTAGCTCGGTTGCAGTGGCCTTCCAGAAAGGCCTCTGACTGCAAAATGGAGGCCTGAGGGCGCCGCAGAAGTGGGCCGGTGAGAAGAGACCTGGCTGCAAGGTAAGCGGGTACATGGTACATGGGGCAGCTTCACACCCCCACCCCAGCTTGACTTTTTCTCTTGGAGATGTGCCAGACGGGTTTCAGATAATGCACCAACCGCGATTCCAGGGAAGGGATGGGGGAGTGGCGATTCTTGTCCGAGAATCCTTGAGACCTCACAGGATCCCTGCCCCAGTGGTTGTTGGATGTGAGTCCCTCCTCTTGAGGTTGGATTCAAGGGTTCAGTTGGGCTTGTTGTTGACATACCTGCCTCCCAGCTATGTGACAACAGCCTTGCCCGAGCTGCTGGAGGGGGTAGCCGGGTTGGCGGTGGAATTCCCCAGGCTTATGGTGCTGGGGGATTTCAATCTGCCGTCACTCGGTGAATCCTCTGGTATGGCTCAGGAGTTCATGGCTTCCATGACAACCATGGACCTGACCCAGATAATTCAGGGTCCAACCCATAGGGGAGGACACACGCTCGACTTGATATTCCTCTCGGGGCAGTGGAGACGTGGTTTTGATTTAAGGGGTATAGTTACTTCTCCTTTGTCATGGTCGGATCACTTCCTGGTGAGGTTAGATTTCTCGGTCCTACTCCCCCACCACAGGGAGGTGGAACCAATTAGGTAGTTCCGCCCCAGGCGTTTAATGGACCCGGAGGGGTTCCAAATAGCGCTTGGGGGTTTTCCTGATTCCCTTCTCCACGAACCGGCTGAGTCCTTGGTTGCTGCTTGGAATAAGGCGGCATCAGGGGCGTTAGACTGGAGCATGCCTTTGCGACCTCTCCGTGATTGTGGATCCCGGAGGGCACCTTGGTTTACTGAGGAGCTACGGGAGATGAAGCGTCAGAAGAGACGTCTAGAGCGACGCTGGAGGGCTAGTAACTCCGAACCCGACCGGACACTTTTAAGAGCCTATATTAGGACTTATTTAGTGGCGATACGAGCGGCAAAATGTTCGCATTTTTCCGCACTTATTGCGTCTGCAGAATCTCGCCCCGCCACCCTGTTTAGGGTGACCCGTTCCCTCCTTAACGTTCGGGAAGCCGGGGAGCTCTTACAGGGTAGGGCGGAAGAATTTGTGCAGTTTCTATCAGACAAAATCGCTCGGATTCGGACAGACCTAGACTCCGATTGGGCAGGGCCTTTTGAGATGACCGGGGCAGGTCTTAGCCCAGTTTTATGGGATGAATTTGAGTCTGTGACCGCTGAGGATGTTGACAGAGTGGTGGGAGCGATGAGCGCCTCCACTTGTTTATTGGACCCGTGTCCTTCCTGGTTGGTCTCGGCTGCCAAGGAGGTGACACGAGGCTGGCTCCAGGTGTTGATCAACGCTTCGTTGAGGGAGGGGTCTTTCCCGCAACCCTTGAAGGAAGCGGTTGTGAGGCCCCTTCTCAAGAAGCCTACCCTGGACCCGGCTGATTTAAATAACTTCCGCCCAGTCTCCAATCTCCCCTTTTTGGGGAAGGTTGTAGAGAGAGTGGTGGCGCTCCAGCTCCGACGGTCTCTGGATGAAGCGGATTACCTAGACCCTTTTCAATCTGGCTTCAGGCCCGGCTTCAGCACAGAAACTGCTTTGGTCGCGCTGATGGATGATCTCTGGCGGGCCTGAGACGGGTTATTCCTCTGTCTTGGTGCTACTTGAGCTCTCAGCAGCTTTTGATACCATCAATTATGGTATCCTTTTGCAATGACTTGGAGGGGTGGGAGTGGGAGGCACCATTTTACGGTGGTTCTCCTCCTCTCTCTCTGGCTGGTCGCAATCAGTACTGGTTGGGGGGGCAGAGGTCAACCCCGAGGCCCCTTGAATGTGGGGTGCTGCAGGGGTCGGTCCTCTCCCACCCCCTATTTAACATTTACATGAAGCCGCTGGATGAGATCATCAGACAGCACGGGATGAGGTTTCATCAGTATGCTGATGATACCCAGTTATATATCTCTTCCCCGAGCTCTCTCAGTGAAGCGGCTGATGTGATGGGCCGTTGCCTCGAAGCCGTGAGGGTCTGGATGGGGGTTAACAGACTCAGGCTCAATCCTGAGAAGACTGAGTGGCTTTGGATGTTGCCTCCCAAGGATCATGTTAACTGTCCAGTGTTGACTCTAGCAGGGGAAAATATACCCCCTTTGGAGCGGGTTCGCAACTTGAGTGTCCTCCTTGATCCACAGCTGAAATTGGAACATCATTTGACGGCTGTGGCTGGGAGGACCTTTGCACAAGTTCGTCTGTTGCACCAGTTGTGACTCTACCTGGACTGGGAGGCTCTCCTTACAGTCACTCATGCCCTTGTCACCTCACGTGTGGACTACTGCAACGCACTCTACATGGGGCTACCCTTGAAAAGTATTCGGAGACTACAGTTGGTCCAGAATGCAGCCGCGCGAGTGATAGTGGGTGCTCCTTGGTACACCCACGTTACACCTATCCTCCGTGAGCTGCACTGGTTGCCTATTGATCTCCTGGTCCAATTCAAGGTGTTGGTTATTACCTTTAAAGCCCTATATGGCTCAGGGCCAGGCTATTTGCGAGACCGCCTGCTACCTCATAGTTCCCTTCGTCCGGTTAGATCCCACAGGCTGGGCCTTCTTCAGGTCCCGTCGGCCAAGCAGTGCCATTTGGCGGGGCCGCGGGGGAGGGCTTTCTCTGTGATGGCGCCCACGTCTTGGAATCAGCTCCCCCCGAGATTAGGACCGCTCCCACCCTGTTGGTTTTCCGCAAGCTGCTTAAGACCTGGCTTTTCCGGCAGGCCTGGGGTTTATAAAATCTGACCCCTGGATGAATGTTATTGTATTGTTTGTTTTGTTTTGTTATGTTATGTTTTTATTGTTAACTGGCCGGAGTCTTGCGGGAGTGGGGCGGTCTATAAATTTTAATAAATAAAATAAATAAATAAATAAATGTGTGCCTCGCCCCAAAACTAGGGCTTATTTTTGGGGCAGGTCTTACTTTCAGGGAAACATGGTAGTATACTGTTGATGTGCTTGCTTTTTATTCTAGCAACCATGGAATAGACTTGTTTACAGGTTGTTACAATCTGAAAAATGAGGTGGATTATTTAAGCACTACTCTGCCTAGTCATTTTGTAAAAAACAAACTACTAGCTATCTTTAACTTTCAAGGTTATTTTTAAAAAGTAAATTAAGTAGTAACTCATATCAACTGTATGGAGAAGGAAATTCCAGATTAATTTCTTTTTTTTTATTTAATTTGAGAAAAATGTAAAATATAAGCAAAATACTAAGGTACACTAAAAAAAACAAAATCTTTAAACATGGAGCTGAGATTCCTTCCCAGCTGAGATGCCTTTCTGGTAAGCAATTTTAGCTCTGCAGTAGGTGGTAGCAGTTTGCAACCTTCCTTTCCAGTTTCCCCTTTGACTTTCTCGGGAAGCTGGCAGAGAAGATTGCAAATGACAATCACATGATTGTGGGGCAATTTCAAGAGGCTTAAATGAGAAGTGAAACGTCTTCAAAGAAAAACAAGAAAGCCCAGTTGCCTCTTGAAAAAGCACCTTTGGGACAACCAATTGTAAGTTGAGGAGTACCTGTAAAGATTTTCCCATAAATCTATAGGCAACCTTTGCTTAACCATAATAATAGGGACTGAAATTTCCCTCAGTACACATTAAATGTAATATCAAATATCAATAGCAATGGCAATCCTGACAGTCACCATCAAATCATTAAGGTTATTAAGTGAGGACCTTTCATGATTGCAATTTGCAACTCCCTGCCACTTCCCACAAGCAAAGTCAATGGGGAAGTTGGTTGGAAGTTGCAAGTATCTGGCAGTTCACAAGCAGATGGAAGGGTGGCTGAGTACTAGAAGTGAGAGGTTGGGTGCTGCAGTGAATGCATGTGGGCTGTGGAGGGGTTGCTACCATGCCTTAACAGTAAGTCTGTGAGAGAGTAAGCTGTTTACTCTTCTACACATCAAAAGCAATTGCAGGTATGCTATGCAAGCAGCTTATAGTATATGATAGTATTCTCTTGAAATCTCATTCTCTCCAATCTCTCTTTGGGAATGGGTGGGAAGAGTCAGGCAAAGGAGAGATTGCCTACATAAATTGCTTGCTTTTTTTCTTTGCCCCCACGCAGACCAGAGAGATTGGAAGGAAGGGATTTCAAGGGAGTAAACTGTTTGGGTAGCACATCCACGGGTCCCAGCATTATTTTTGATTGCAAAAGAGCAAACAGCTTTCTGTGTTACAATCCCTTTCTCTTCAAACTCTACACTGGGGGGGGGGAGGGTATAAAGGTTAAGCACAGGAAACTGACTATAAAACTGAGAGTGGAAGTGGTTCCAAAGACATAAAAATATCCAAGTTGTCAGAGGATGAAGATGTAGAAGCCTATTTTACCATATTTGAAAAAGTGGCTACCTCTTGCAAGTGGCCTGAGAGTGAGAGAGTCAGACTAGCCCCATGTTTAATGAAGAAAGCTTTGAGAGCTTACAGTAGTCTTCCAGCAAGAAAAGTAGTGGATTACTTACATGTCAAAGAGATAATTTTATACAGGTACAATGTCACTCCCTTTGCTTATAAGCAGAGGTTTAGGAGTTATATCTACAACAAACATGAAGGGTTTCATGAATTGAGGGCAAGGTTGGAAGACTTAGGAAATAATTGAAACTAGATGAAAGAAGCAAAGCAAAGTGGTAGAGGAGGTAATTTTAGAGCAATTTCTACAAGTACCCCCACTAAATAGATATTTTGGGTGCAAGAACACAATCCAGAATCAGATCAAAGGATTGTTGAATTAGCTGAGCACTACAAATTCCTGATTAAATGGATGGTATCTGACATTGTGACCATATTGCTTCATTATTATGGACAGGATAAGAAAATGTTATCGCTGACTTCCTATTGAGATATGGGAAGTACATAGATATGAAAAAAGATCAAAATATTTTAATAAAAAAGACTATTAAAGGGGGTGAGGTATGTGAGACGACAGGCTGACTACAAAATGGCCAAACACCTGTGCTGCTGATGTTCTGTTCCTTTAAGTCTTTTCCCTAGCCAGCATAGCAATTGTTGACTATAAAAGCTGAGCAGAGAGGCAGCTGGATGTGGTGGTATGTGTGTTTGTAAAGTAGCCTGAAACAGATAGAAGGAGATACTGTTCAATAGCAGTAGTACTTATAAAAAGTAGTTGGAGGAGCAGGAGGAGGAAATGTAGTAAAAAGTGGGAAAGAGCAGAGTAGTGAGCAATGAGTACTAGCCTTTTCAAAGTAGCAATTTTCAAAGGATATACACTTTTACAACTGGAAGGAAATAATTTAAAGTCTTATTTACAGAATTCTTATTCTTGTTCCAGAAATTCCCCACATCTGCTGCTACTGTTGTGTCTTTTGACATTTTTTAGTCTGCCTAGACCAGGGGTAGGCAACCTTGGCTCTTTTATGACTCGTGGACTTCAACTCCCAGAATTCCTGAAGTCCACGAGTCATAAAAGAGCCAAGGTTGCCTACCCCTGGCCTACACTAATGAGGATTTCTCTCTTTAGTCTGGCTCTGGGAAAAATAGAAAGGAAATTGATTTGGATCATCTTTTCCAAATCAGAAAAGTAGCAAACTTATCATACTTTGTTCCTCATTTGTGTAGGAGTAGCTACATAAGCAAACAATTTTGCATGCAGGGAAGGTTTTAATAAGAAATTCACATACAGTTATTGAAGCCAGATCTTCAGATATGAAAAAGGGAATACACTGTTTTTAACTCTGTCTTTAACCCAAATTTGTATGTAGGTTGGCACTCATAAACACACTGCCTATTACTAAAAATAACAGATGGCATTGTCCTTTCTTAAGCTGATGATACAGGAAAATAGGCTATATATTAAAAATATGCAGCTTCAACATTGTGCGGCTTCAACAGTTCATCGGCTTAAGGAATAAGAACACTGTCCACCATTTTTAGTAATAGATGGGCATTTCTACTAGGGGTTGTCTTTAAGTTGGATGTTCTTAACCTGGGGATCCCTATACCGGAAAAATAAGGAACATAACAGTTCTAAATAAAATCATTCTTGTTAACCTAATTAAATTAATATTATAGCTTGCATAGCATCTTACAGAATAGAATTTGTTCACAATTCATTGCTGAAAGGGATGGAGATTATCTAGATTCTAGATCCTTTGTTTTCCTTCTTTTCCTGTTTAGAACTATCCTCACTGTCTTATAGAAAGCAGACGACAAATAAAAGCCATTCTCTTTGAATGGACTTAGTATTTTCATAGGTCCAGCCAGAAAAGTATTTAACTGCTGAGAATCAGTCTTCCTAACGATTTGATGTGTGAATAATAAAGGCAGTGTCTGGTTTCCTCCAGTTATGCCATTGAATAAAAACGATTACATTAAAAAAGCTTTAGGGACGAACAAAATGAATTATGCCTATTCAGGTATTTCAGCAGGGAATGAACTAAGCAGATACTTTAGGGGCATTATTTATTACAAATATATTTTTTACATTCACATGGCTTTCAGGAGAGCCTATTTTAGTTGATTTATGAATTGCATGTAAAATTGAAAACGCTTTTTTGATTTCAAATAATATAGATATAGTCCATTCTTCAAACTTTTTTAATTGATAGTCTTGTAAACATAAGAAATTGTTTTTGTCTCATCTGAAACTAAGGATTAGGATTAAATATTTTCAATAGAAACTTGTTACCCATCAATCACCGAATCTCTAAATTTTCCATTGCTTCTCCTTGGGATGATGGAAATAATATATGCTGAAGAGTAGAAGGAATTGAAATGAATGGTAAAATCAAGAAAAAGATCAGTAATTCTATTAGGCAATTGCTGGCTAAGATAATTAAAACTCTGGGGAGATTTAGGAGTAATTATACACACTTACATTTAATTTATGTTAGACACACATGACATGGTATCAGAATAATTACTTTGCAATCAGCTAATTAATCAATGGTAGAAGCAAGTAAGTCAAAAAGTAATTTCTGCATGCCAAACTTCTTTAAAGTTAATTTGAGAGGCAGAAGGGTTAGTCTGCCTTACCCAAATGCTACTTATTTGATCAGCCTTGCATTGCTGAAAGAAAAATCAAGACTGCTTGGACTAGTGTGGCATAGAAACATTATAAATAAATCTTTGAGTTATGTCACAATTACAGAAAAAATTGAATTGGTTCATAAGACAACTTTTGTGTGCTGTAATTTTGTCTGTCCACTTTTAAGAACCTCACTCTTCCTTCACCTTGATTTTGATTATTTAAGCTTTCTAACAATTGTGCCTGATCAATACTGAGCAATAGAGTAAAATCTGCTACAATGAGTCCATCCAAAATTAATTCTTGGAATTCTGATCTAAATTGCAAAGTAAATGTTGAACTTTATGAATAATGCTAAACTGCCAGACTGATCAAATGTATAATTCTGCATCCTCTGTAAAATTCTTATTTCCCTTATTTATTTTTCTAATCAGATGCCTTTCATCAGATAATACGAGAGGAAGGAATCTTGGCTTTGTGGAATGGTACTTTCCCCTCACTGCTGTTAGTATTTAACCCTGCCATACAATTCATGTTTTATGAAGGGCTTAAAAGGAAAATTTTAAAAAGACAACTGCAGGTGAGATTCCAAGGCTTACAAGAAAGATGATGTTTAACTTTGATCTCAGAAACTGTTCCATTCAACTAAATTGTTACCATTTTGGTTTAGGGTTAGGCTAGATTTGAAAGTTCTTAATTTTGTTTTCGCATCCAGATACTAATTTTTTTCATGTTATTTTAGCTGTCTTCACTGGACGCCTTTGCTATTGGAGCAATAGCCAAAGCAATTGCTACTACTCTCACTTACCCTATGCAGACAGTGCAGTCAATTTTACGGGTATGTATGAGTAATGCTAAACCACTTTCATTCACACCCTAACTTGTAAACCTTTGTTCCATTTAATAGGTTTTAATTTGTTATTAAACAAGCATAACTTTTAACTGAAGCTAACAAAGCTCTTAAACAGCTATTTCTCAGACTTTCACAATTAGAATGTTGTGAATTAATAATAGCATATGGCTCCCATAATGGATGCTGCTTTTCCAAAAGTACATTAGCACACTAGGCTGCATTGATTATTGTTAGGCAGGATTTCTCCTTTGCCTCTCTGCATAAAATGTTGCATGACATCATGTTATAGTGAGGTAAACCTGGTAGCTTCGTACTCTCTTTGTAAATCCTTTCTATTAACATTATAGCTCAAGTTATATGCCAAAATTTACACTTATTTCTGATTTGGAAGAATGGGGAAAAAGAAGTAGAAGAAGAGTGGCTGACAGCACTCTTCTAAGACAGCCAACAACTAAACATTGATGAACTTTTTTTACAATAAGAAACAGTAAACTAATCTTATTTTCCATTCCTAAAAAAATTGAGGTTCTTGAATGGGACTTAAAAACAGAAATAGAAAAAGAACAATTATTTGAGCTTTCTTGTTTTTCTTAGAGACAGTTTAATTGACTGGTTTGATTCTCTGCCACCCCTTCTCTATCATTCTTCAGTCCATTCCATTAGCTCTCCAACTTCTAATGAAAATAAGAAGACCTCCTCAATACTGGGACAAGCTCCTGTCAGTTGAATTCATGGCAAAACAATGTTTGTTCACAGCAAAGACTGATATTTTAATGTTCAAGCAATTAGTCCTCATTAAAAATCTGGATCTGTGCAAAAGCAACTTTTGTGCAAGTGTTTGCACAAAAACATATAGAAAGACACTCTGCCTTTATTGAAACCCCTCGTCCAAGCAGACAACATAAACAATAACTCTTAGGATTGAGTAACAATAAATCATAAGCCAATAAAAATGTCAGTGTGCTGAATCTGGTGTGCAAGCAGTTAAAGAAGTTACCTCATCAAAGCATATTCCTTGCAATTAAATCAGGTTGCTCTTCTTTGTTGTTGTTTGTTGTTAATTGCGAAGTCGTGTCCGACCCATCGCGACCCCATGGACAACATTCCTCCAGGTCTTCCTGTCCTCTACCATCTTCTGGAGTCCATTTAAATTCTGGAGAATTTAAATTCTGGAGAATTCCATTTAAAAACTGGAGAAGGAAATGGCAAACCACTCCAGTATCTTTGCCATGAAAACCCCATGCTCTTCTTTGCACTGCCTTAATTCTAGTCAGTGGGTCTAAAAGAGCAATTGAAACTTCTCTGGGACAGCTTCTTCGCTGCCAAATAGATTTGTGCTTGTTTGAGCGGCTCCCAGGTTTGTCTTGCAGTAAATGAATCTTACTGTCTTTTAAGCAATTTATTATACTTCACATGTCACTTAAAATGAAACAATTTATTGCCACCTTTTGGATTGTTCTAATTGTTTTAATAACAATTACAGGTTTATATGTTTCATTATTGTGCTCTCTGGCCCAAAGGCCATAATAAGTTTAACTTACCGTTAAGTTATGTACAGGATTATAAAAGCTTGATCACAATACTTTGTATTAACAACGAAAATATTCCATAATTTTGCACACTTCTCTAAGCAGAAATTAAGAGAAAAAAATGTTCACTTGTTCAATTTGTCTCCTTTTCAGTTTGGACATCACCGACTGAACCCTGAAAACAAGAGATTAGGTAGTCTTAAAAATGTTCTCTACCTTCTTCAACAAAGAATAAAGTAAGCTTTGCATTTTTTAATTGGCTTCTACTTAACCCAGTTTAATGTCTTACTAGTTTACTGTAAATTGGACATTTTGTAAATGGTTAAACAGAGAGACATATTTATTATACACACACAACATTAAGTAGAATAAAATTCCTTTAATTATCCTATGATAAAACATTAAGTAGAATAAAATTCCTTTAATTATCCTATGATAAAACATTAAGTCGAATAAAATTCCTTTAATTAGCCTATGATAAAAGTATTCATATTAGCTTAAAATTAAAAGGGATACAAGAGATCCTCTATTTCAACTTATTGCTTAGTGCACAATCCACAATAGCATCTATATAGAGATAACCATCCAGCCTCTGATTGAAGACCTCTAATTAAGGAGTTGTCATTACATTATATATGGAAGCCTATTCCACTGACTGACAGCTCATATAGTTCCTCTTTGGAATATCACAGATATCAAGATAACATTAACCACTTTTCTCCAAGGTGCCAATAACCTTCAGTTCTTCAACCAATTTCTCCCTTTTGTTGGGGATTAGATCCGGAATAGTAGACCTACTATCCTCCACATTCTTATAAATGAAGTTGTCAGCAAGAGAGTAAAAGAATTTATTGACTTTTTGACTCTTGACAGAATTAAATTTCCAGCAGATGTCAGGATAATGGAAATCCATTATAAATTGCATGCCTGTTTGAAGGACTAGTTTTCTGATACATAAAGGCCTCATTTATATCTTGCCTACTCAAGTGGCCTATAATAAATCCCTACAACTCCCACTTTTCTTTCTCTCTTTTTATTCTTAACCAAATACTCTCTGCAGGATTTCCATGCTCTAGTTCATAAATTTTTGTGCAAGTATATTTTTTATTTATATACAGTACACCATCCACATGCTTTTCACTGGGCCTGTGGTTTTAGAAGAAACTGTAGCCATCCATGGGCAAGTTTCTACCAAGTTTCATTGAAGCTTATACATCTTGTTTGTTTTCCTGATTCTCTAGGTCTCCCTGTTTATTAAAACATAAACATTTATTTTCATCTGGCAGCATGCAGGAAAAGAAGAATTTATAATATTTCTTGCTGCCAGCCAGCAGAAGACATGATTAAGCCCTCTCTTTTTTGTATTTTATTAATTATGTAGTATGTTTATTTTTAGCTGCCTGAGTACTCAATTTGACTAGAAAGGCGGATTATAAATCTGATAAAATTATTATTACAGTCTGTATTCCACACAATATCTAATGATTCTGAGATAATTAATTAAAACCTAAGTACTGAAAATGCTATTCTCTTTTCCAAGAAGTAGCTACATCTAGAAGCCCAGTGGAAGACAGAATCTGCAGTTCATTCTGCTCATTTAGATAACGCTAATAGAGTACTGGTCTTATTGGCATATGGTCAAAGAGTACATCATATCCTTAAATCTTTAGTGTCTTAACAATTGCATACAAAGAGTAGAAGAGAGCAAATTTGATGTATGTTTGCTATAGAATGAAGAATTATCTGCCTTTTCTTTTTTTAATAAATATGTTTAATATGTTTTTATAGGCGCTTTGGATTAGCAGGACTCTATAAAGGACTAGAAGCAAAGCTACTCCAGACAGTCCTCACTGCTGCACTCATGTTCCTTGTCTACGAAAAACTTACTGCTATTACTTTCACAGTCATGGGATTAAAGCATCCATCGAAGAACTAAAATATTTGACTATAAAGCATATAACTCTTAGAAAAAAAATCAGAATATCTACAAATGATTGGGTGCCATAAACAATTTTATCCCAAGGCCAAAATTTTGTTTTATTGTGCTTGTGTTTTCAATCACAACTGTTGAATGTAGCTACATTCAAGTATCTAGAAGGCATTTTCTTTATTCAGTTCTACATAAAGATTGGAGCATTCTTTGATTTTTCATATATTTTAAAATAACCTTTTACCACTAATTCTCCATTTGCTAATACCAGATGGTATTTCAAATATTTGGTGTTATATGATCATCTTAATAATCAGTCCAGTAAAGATTTTATTAAAAATTGCCCTTAGAAGATAAGCTTTAATTGACAAAGAATGTTTAATTGTCTTGGAAGAGTTGAATTGTATTCTCTTATGCCTTCCCATACAGCAACTTAAGAATTTTGAAGAATGCATTTGAAATTGTTATAACCATCAATTTTATTACCATTTTAATGCTTAATTAAATATTGTGCCAGGCTTCCCTAGTATTATAAAATTGGATAATATCCATAAATATAGAATATTAATCATGTCATATTTCTGACATTTAAGAAATTAAAATTATCCCATACATATTCCTCTCCCTCTTCTATCATATGAACCATTTTAACATAATTTTTTAGGGTTAATAAACAAAATTAGTTACTGCAGCCATGCTGAAAGAAGAAAATAAAGATGGAATATGCAAGTTTATGATTCTTATTGTGATAAACCATAATGTTGTACTATCTGTATATTAAATAAATGCACATATACCCTATTATTAAAATTATAATTAAATTTTGAAAAAAGAACCAACCCACAGCAAATAATAAACATTCCATGTTGTAACTATAATAAGTGAAAGACTAAGAATTATTCAAGAGTATTTATTATTACTTCAGATCCATAATTGATTAATAAAGAATAAACCTGTTTTGAAATTGGTTATTTTTTCAAAACAGAAACATTGTTTGTATTGATTCTTACTTTAGTTTTGCCAAATATAAAATGTTTATATTAGATAATATATATTATCTAATATATATATATAGAATTGTAGCTGTTTATTACAATGACATATACCACACCCACACACATAGACACATATTGTTTTATTTCTATTCATTTTTAAGCACATTTTTTTTACTGTGTCTTGTTTGTTTTGTTTTTTGTATTCTACCTTAATTAATTGAAAACTGCCTTAAGGCTTCTACCACTGAGCTTCAGCAAAAAGATGCATTATAGTTGCTTTACAAGAGATCAGTCTTTAAACAGAAAAATTAAAAAAGATAGTTCAACATACTGAGTTGGTGGGGAGGGGCTCATATAGCCGTTACTATGATGGCTTTTAACTGTGTACAACAATGGTTCTCAACCTTTTTAATGCCGCGACCCCAAACGGTCGTAAGTTGAGGACTACCCAACTGCTTGTAAGTTGAGAATTTTGCCTGGGAGCGTCGCACATGTGTGGTGCCGCTCCCTGCACCGGCCGAGGCGTAGCTGGCAAGCGGCAGAGACAGCGCAGGCCGACCACCAGCTGGGCCACCAGCTGGCCCAGCCCAAGGGAGGTAAGGAACCCTCTGGGCCCCACGCGCGCCAGCAATCCTCCCTGCGCCCGCCGGCCTCCCACCTCCCACCCCTGGCCCTCTTTTACTTACATTTTTAGTAGTTGCTCAGCAGGGAGGGGTGGAAACTTCCAGACAGCTCGCCTTCGCTGCAGACAACTTGCAGCACCGTTTGCAGAATGGGACTTTTGGCGGGCTCAGCAGGGCAGAGACAGCCTAGACAATTCCTATTGGCTTTTGAAAGCCAATAGAATTAGACTCTATTCAAGAGAGTCTATTCTATTGGCTTTCAAAAGCCAATAGAATAAAAGGGAGTAGCACAGCTAAGGAAAAGGGGAAAAAAATGGCGGACTGCGTTGTTTGGCGACCCCCGTGAAATGGTCGTTCAAACCCAAATGGAGTCCCGACCCATAGGTTGAGAATCGCTGGTGTACAGTATAAATAATAGAGAATAAGTGATATACCAGTAGTACAGCCACTAGAGGTCACAGGCTGTTAGGAAAATAAATGATGCTCTGCATCATGTGTAGCAGTAACAGACATTTGTACATCTTTACTGACAGGTCTCTGGGTGATCTGCACTACATCAGCAAATAATTCTCTTTCCTAATTACTTAACCAAAGGGACAACAAAATGATTCCATCCCATCCTATATGGTATAATTTGTAGTGCTAAAATGAAAACCAGTTCTAGTGGCCACTTGGTTTTTGTTTCAAAGGAATGTAAATTTTCATTTCTGGTATTCAAAACATATTTTTTTTCTCAGAAATATTTAAGTAACTTTTTTTGTACAGGCTCCAGCTGGAGAGTCTAAAAAAAATGCGACCAGAAAAAGGGTAGATTCCAGAAAATAATAAAAAACAAATACCCTAAGAAACTACTTACAATATGTCTTACCTTTAATAAATTAATGATGTTTAGTTGTTTAACATTGTTTAACTTTTGCTGTTCTGAAAAATACAGAGATTTAAGTTTGATTAGCCGGCAAGTTTTCCCCACACCATGGATTCTTATTGCATGAATGAATGAATATATGGACTATATATAATTTACATAGACTGTAATTGAGGATATTGTGATTTTTTGTCTTTATGTAGCATTATTGAAACAAATTATAAATATCCACTGAAAGATTAATCATATGCTAATGCTGACAGGTTAAAACTGAATTTCAAAACAAAAATATAAAGATAATAGATAAAAATATTTTTAACATGACATAGAAGCATTTATAGAAAGAATTTAAGGAGTTAACATGGGTCTGCAATGTAAGACCCATGTTAACAAGGGTCTGCAATGTAAGACAATTAAAAAGACTAAAGTAATCTAATACACCAACAGAATTATAGTATCAATACTTTATTTGCAATACAATCTGCAACAATAGTGCTATCTTGGAAAGATGCCAACAGATTGGCAAAGAGATGAGCAAAGACTAAAGGGTTTATGCATGGTTTCTCTATTCCTTAAAATTAGTTAGATGTTATTGAAAAAAGCCAGGATGTCAGTATGGACCATTATTAACCATCTTGACTTACTAGTTAAAATCTTCTTCCAAGGACATTTTGGCGGTCCTCTTCCTAATCACCTTATCCATTTTTCTACTAATATTCTACTTCCTAGTAAATACTTTTTTCTAGTCCATCTAGTCCATTTGTCTACAGGTAGTCCTGGACTTACAACAATTGAGACCAAAATTTATGTTGCTAAGTGAGGTATTTAAGTTAATTTTGCCCCATTTTACGACCCTTCTTGCTATAATTGTTAAGTGAATCCATTGCAGTTGTTAAATTAGGTACACAGTTGTTAAGTGAATCTGGCTTCCCCATTAACTTTGCTTGTCAGAAGATTGTAAAAGGGGATCACATGAGCCTGGGACAATGTGACCATCATAAATATGAGCCAGCTGATCACATGACCATGGGGTTGCTGCAATGGTCATAAGTGTGAAAAATTGTCATAAGTCTTTTTTTTAGTGTAGTAACTTTGAACGGTCACTAAACAAACTGTTGTAAGTTGAGGGTAATCTGTTAAAATATGTTTTATATTGCATTTGGTAATGTTGAATGAGAAATATGGGAGCTGTAGTCCAATTCATATGAAAGGCATTAGGACCAAGAAGAGCGTGAAGATGATAAATCCTGAACCAGATTAAGGGGTTGAAATTATAATAAAGAGGATTTCAGTTAAATTGACAAAATCATCCCATTAACATGAGCAAAAGTGAGATCAACTGTTTTCCATTTATCAAAGAAATCTAAGAAGAGACTTTCTGGAGGATCAGAAGCAGACCATACTAAAGCATGTCCGAGGAAGTTACATACCTCTACAGTACACATGTTGGTGCACTATCCCTTTAAGAATTCCTCCATCTCCTTCCTCCTAGGGCCATGACAGTGTTTGAATACTCTTAACTTCACCTGGGGTGATGACATAATTCCTATCTTCTAATTGGCTGCTTTTTGCTTCAGTCACTTTTTGCCTTCCCGCCCATTCCTTTCCCTCACTCACCGCCCAGAGGCCGTTAACATTTGTAGTTACTCCACAACCGTTGACGGAAACTGGTGCCATTCATTGCTATTCCTCGTTTTCATTGGCTATGCAGCTTGTCAATTTTGGACTCCGGCAATTGATGGGCGGAAGGTTCCGCGGCGGTGAGGTTGGGAACCGGCGGCAACGGTGGTGCTAGTGAGAGCGGTCTCTGCGTCTTCAGACAACTTTTTCGTCGGTGGAGGTGTTGACTTTGGAAGGCAAGGACTACCGCTAGGATGTATTCGTGATCAGGTGAGTGGAAAGAGGCTGCGAAGAGAACGAATCGACTGCTTATCCCTCCCACTCTTGGACTCTTCCATGTATGGGGCAGGGAACCGCCCCTCTGAAAAAACACAAACCCGGGCTGCTCGGGGTTTGGCCGAGGTCGCCGCGGTCCTTTCGTTTCTCGCGATGTGAGGACCGTGGTGAGCCGCCGCCCTTCGTCCTGGGAACCTCCCGACTGAACAGCCGCTGCCGGCGGACACTCTTTAATTTTTCCTTCAGTGAGTCAGAGGTGCGATCCCTCCCGCGGCGGTGGCGGCCTTGGCCTTCTTCACCAGTTCTCTTAATCAGCTTGACTTCGGGATGCCCCTCGCCCTCTTCCCTCTTCTGCAGTACTTCATAATCAAAGAATAGACTTCTCTCTTTTCCCATGGATTTCCGTCGGTGAACCCGTGGCCTTTCCTGCTTTTCTTGGTGAGCTACGAGGCTTCTGCTCTCCGCTGTAACGCCTCCTGCAATCGTGTCGCTCCATGCTTTTGCGTTTTTCTGAACGCATTTCTTTTTCGTTTCCTTCTGGTGATTACGCCTTTGGAGGGGAAAGGGTTTTTGTGAACAAATGAGTTAGGTTCGTTGAGTGAGGAAAGAATTCTTAACAAACTTTGGCTGCAGTAAAGATTTCCTTAGTGGTCTTGTTTTAATGCCCCCTCCCCAACATTTATGTAGGCATTGAAATATTCTGAATCTGTTGGACTACTGTATCTGCATGCTAAAATTCACAACACCAATAGATTGCAGTGAAGAGATACAAAAAATGCTATTTGCTGCCATATTTTCTGGAGTTTTGCATGTTACTGTGCAACACCACATTTAGGCTTCAGTTTCAAAAATATATTGGGAAGAACGTTTTTCTGTATATTGGAATATAGTAGGCAAAAATTGCCTATGATTGGTTTAATGGGCTACAGACTATTAGGTATTGTTTAATACCGCTCCCATTGTAGCTGCATACCTTGATAATCATAAGAATATGTTTTGAATAATCCATAATAAAATTATGTTCTGTGTTACAGACAGAAGACATGACAGCTTTCTTAAGTTTTCCATTTTGAATTCACTCCAACATTACTTTTTTTTTAAAAAAGAGTAGCTGTCTGTTTCTGTAAAAATAGGTCTTATGCTGCTTTCATATGAATACATTTATTGTAGTATGTACTTTCATATTATTCATACTATGTACTCATACTAAAGTGGACTCTTAAGCCACTGGATTTGTTAGCTTTTCTGATATGATTTCTTCCCTTCAATACCACACATGCTTTTCTTAAAAGTGCATATTTCTACTTGCTTCTGCTGCTGGAATGGTTTCTCAGAATATTTCTGAGAAACTTAACTACATATTGACTGTAGTTGTTTGTTTCCACCAAAACTATCTAAAATGCAGCTCATTTGTTTTAATGAGCACAGCTGTAGAAAATAGTACATTAATAATTATTGCTTTGGATTAGATACTAAATAAAAAGTTAAAAGACTTTGATACTAGCAAGTTGAAAAAGCAAGATCTAGATTGCCATTCCCTGTTCCATCTCAATAATTTAGTTTTCCTCGTCCAAACAGTGTTGTTCAGCCATTCTTGCTCATTTGTACACATCTTATGATAGTATGATGACCTAAATATGAAAGATACCTGAAAACATAATTTGCATATTTCTGATTAAGAAATTGATTTATATGCAGAAATGGATAACTACATAATATATTTTGGAACTAAACATGAGAATTATCTGTTATAATGGATTAAAAGACAAAACAATGATTTTGACTGCATAATAAATATTTTCTTTGTTGTATTCTGCAACTTCTCCAAAACGTATATTTTAAGAATGATTCATATATCTTCTCAACATTCCTCTTTGGTATGGATATAATGTTTTTTAAATCTTGACTATGCATTCATGTGAACATCAGCAGCAACTGATTATACACAATAACAGCTGTAGCATGCATGAACATGCTGGTATATATTATTGTTTTGAATCCTAAAGTAATTGAAATAAAGGAAATTTTTAAATGAAAGTACTTATAAAGTGCTTATAAAAAGTATACTTTCCTGAATTTTTGTTGTTAAATTAGGTACAAGCTAATATTTTGAATTATACAGTATATGGCAGGATGTCAAACTGCCAGCCTGGCCGGATGCATCATAGTGAAACTGCGCCCACTCCATTGCTGGCAATGACAAAAAAGTAGTGATATGTCTCGCCACGCCACATGACATTGCGAGTTTGACACCCCTGGTATATGGTATTTACTATATATTTGAAAAAAGGAAAACATCATGGTTTCACTGCTCTATGCAATAAGAATATTAAAATCTATGTTAGCGGTTGTTTATATGTTCAGTCATATAACTATATCTTCAATTTTTTGACATATTGTGAAGATTCTGTAAGATCTACAGAAATAATGAGTATTCATAACATAACCTTTGAAGTTATGCACTCACCATTAATTAGGTGAGTGCAAGCATGTATGCTAGTAGTTTCTAACCACTAGTTGTAGGAAGTTGGTAAAACTAATAGTAACTATTATTCTGCAATTATGTAGATATCTATAATTGTTCTCAATATTTGTGCAAAATTACAGAAAAGTGCATAGTTTGGTATTATTGGATTCAAAATGCAGCATTCTTCATAGACATGGAATTCAGAAACAACATACAACATGCATTCCTTAGTTTATTTAGATTATTTATTTTCTGTTCTCTGTTGCATAGAATTTATTTTTCTTTATATCAATTCAATATTTTATCAATTGGAGTCAACTTTAAATAGCTTTATTCTCTTCCTCTTCTTTTCTCTTTTACTATATTTTAAAACTTCTTCTTCTTCTTATACCATATCCGTTATCGGACGTTGGCGAACATGTTGGCGATCCTGTTTTTATCAGCAGCCGCACGAAAAAGTGCTGCTGAGTTTTGTCCAAACTAGTCCCTTAGATTTTGAAGCCACGATGTTCTTCTTCTGCCTGGACCTCGTTTGCCTTCAATCTTTCCCTGGAGGATTAAATGGAGTATGCTTTATTTTTCTGGATGTCACATCACATTCCGAAATATTCTAATTTTATTTAATTTAAATATTTTAAAACTATAGGCATATATTTAAAATTGTATACTGCAGCAATATAGGTGGAAATAAGTTTGAACTCAGTAGAACTTACTTCCAAATAAGTTTATATGATGTTCTGCTGCATGCATATACAGGTAGTCCTTGTTTAGCGACTGCCTCAGGCAGCAACTGTTCACAGTTATGACACTGATGAAAAAGTAACTCATTTTTAGAAAAACATGGAGGCTTCTGAAGTTTTGTAATTAAGAAAACTAGATACAGCATTCCTTTATGGAGAAAGCAAGCTGCAGTTGAAGCCAAGTTGATTCAAAATTATTGAAGCAAGAAGTTCTTTGGGGAATTTTAGATTAAAAATCTAATGAGGGAAATTTTGGAATAGTTACTTGAGAATATCTACTAGGCATTCTCTATTGTGCTGAAAATATGCATTGTTCTTTGATTTGAAGTATATTAACAGATTTTAGATGTTTTGCTTTTTGGATTTTTAAGCTGTTGTGCTTCACATTATTAGTTCTAGTCAGAAAATGTCAGTTTTCTGTTTAATAGCATGACAGTTATTGTCATTATGAACTCTGAGTGATAAAGGAAAGGAATGTCTGAGTACATGAAATCATTATTTTTATCTCATTAAACTAATGACATAGCATGATGTTTGAATGTAACCATTACTTTTCAGCTAAAGACTATCAGAGAATTACAGACTAATTTAAAAACATCTGAAAGTGAAACTCTTTCCTGTGCACACTTACTATTCCCAGCAGGATGTTTCACTCTATAAAGGTGATAGTGTCTCATTTGAAATGCACTTTTTAAAGAAAGTTGCACTAGTCAATTAGTCTCAATATTTCAGATATTAATCCTTCTAAAATTTGACCATTAATTGATTAATTAATTAACTCATCTATAGGTAGTTTGAACTGAAAAAATTAAAAATATTTTCTATATTTTGTAGAAATGCAACATATGTTTAGTAGAATACATTATACATTAATTTCTGAAGGTGTGCTGAAATTGCTTAGAGCAAATCATTGATATTAATTATATATTATATTTCTATACCATCAGCTATTGATTTGTTATTGTTGTTTGGCTATCAAGGAAGCAAAAATCATACAGGCTACAATAATGCTGGTTTTAAGGGCAAAGTACAGAATCTTTGAAACCACGACAGGAACTCACAACTTTTATTTAGTGAGTTAACTGAAGAGAATTTCCTTGAACAATTTGTCACTTTTCTTTGTTTTATGAGTGGGGAGAAGATGAATAAAATCCAAGTTCCTGTCTTGAGATCAGAGACTTTTTGAGTGCCAGCTGGAGACTTTCCATGTTGCTCAGCTACTCTGAAGCTCTGACTCACAAGTAGTGGAAGGCAGATAACGCATTGTAATTGTTGAAATAGCAACAGCTTGGCCTGGACATGTAAACACTAATCTATAAACATTTCCACTGAATTGAGAAATTTATTAGCAAGACAAGACTTCTACATCTTTTCAAGATGATGTTATGTTCTGAGAAGAACAAATTCCCTTCCCCTCTTATCTTCCCATCATCTCATCCTGTATAGATGGGAAACAGAATATTCTACTCTGTTATCAACTGTTAGCTAAGGAATGAGAAATTTATGCACATTTTAATATTTGATAATAGAATCCATATAATAAAAAATAGTACTCTTGCATTGATAGGGGAATAAAAAAAAATATTGGGGACTTTTAGTAGAATTTCTGAGGTGTAGATCAGCATAAATGTATGATTCTTGATAAAACTGGCAAATAAAAAATAGGTTAAAGTATTTGTCTTGGCTATCTTTCAGTTGTTTACATTGTCTTTAAGAACATTGGAAGAGTATTGCTGGACCAGGCCATAAGCCTATCCTACTTACCCTTTTTAAAACCATTGCAGGCTCTAGAACAGGGGTGTCAAACTCAATTTCATTGAGGGCCACATCAACATTGCAGTTGCCCTCAGGGGGCTGGGTCGGTGTGGCCAGGGTGGGTGTGGCCTACTGGGTGGGCGTGGATAGAGTAGGTGTGGCCTACTGGGTGGGTGTGGCCAACTCTACATCATTCGCGTTAAGGGTGCCTGTGAGGACCTGGGCAGGAGTGGAATAGATCTGAGGGTCTCTGGCATAAGGGGATGGGACCAGGGAAAGTGCCAAGGAATGGTC